CTTCCAAAGAAAGATTTCTTTTGAGGTAGTGATGTGGAACACCCTCCCTCCCCCCTTCCAAGAGGGCTCCGTCAAATTGAGCATGGATGGAGCATCATTAGGTAACTTGGGCTAGTAGGGGGAGGGGGTTTAATCATATGGGAACAATACCAATATGGTGGCAGAATGCAAGGCTATGGCAAATGGACTCATATTATATTCCTCTCTTTGTCTAAATTCTATTGAAATAGAAATGAACTCTTTATTGTTAGCATCCATACTGCAGTCCAAAACATATAAATTATGAAAATTAAGCAAATGGTGGCAGCAGATTTTAGGTAATCTACGTGTGGTTTGTAGGATAAACCACAAGGCTAGAGAATGCAACGAGCCAACATATTATTTGGCAAAGAGAGAGGCTTGACAACAAGAGGAGAGATCCTTCAACAACCTACAAGAGCTCCTGTGGGAAGTTAGAGGCATGTGCAAACTAGACAGATGGTGCCTCCCCTACATTTAGAAAAAAAAGGTATGGACTCTATGAACGTGCTTCAAAGTAGGCATCAATGAAAATGCTTGATGATGAAAATCAATCCCAAGAGCAATCAACAAGAAGCTGCATTCCACAATTGGAGAAGAACAAACTACTAGGGATTGTGAGACCCTTACAAAATGAGCGAGGACCAAAATTCTGTAGATACTAAATTGCATGTGGAGAACCTCTTTTTTTCAGGTAACAGAGGAGGTAGGATAGAGGTGCACTTAACCTGCATTTTTCCAGGACCTCCTAAATATATCAGAAATGGGCTAGAGGTGAGAAACATCAACAACCTCACCAAATGAGATAACTGTAGTGCAAGTCCAATGGTCTACTCACCAACAACCTACCTACCTCTAGCCTCCAAAAAAAAAAAAAGGAAGAAGAAGAAGAAAGAAGGGGCAATGTAGGAAAGTCTAGGGAAATAGAGTGAAAGTGCCAAAAGTCGGTAATCCCCCAACCCTCTCCTACCAAAAAAGAAAAAAAAAAGAAATAAAGGTATGAAAGGAGGAAATGGGGTAAATCCGTGAGGAAAAGGTTACCCATCTCACCTAGACCCTCACCTAACCAAAAAAAGAAAAAAAAAAAGAAGAAGAAGAAGGAAGGAAAAATTTGGACACTAGATGGTTTTGGCGAAAAGGGGGAGGACCTATGGGATTAAGCATGGCGGTAACAATTGAATGGCATGAACCTCTATGTGACTCCCAAGGCTCATAAAGGTAGAACAAGAGAGACTGGTGAAACGAGAAAATAAATCCTTTGAAAAAGCTCAAATCTATTGCCTACAAAAGAGGCCAACCCTACTAATCATGTAGTATTGTCAAGGGAAATGGCCTCCACCCCCCCATGTACTATGGAAAAGAGCATCAGCCCTATGTACCAGCTATGTTCATCTATGCAAGGTTTTCTTTGGAAAAAAAAAGAAACATATGCTCCTTGTTCAAGCAATAGAAAAATTACCACATCAGTTGACTCCATAGTCATAGTTGCTGGGATATGAAACATTTGCCTATCACCCTATATTACCTTGAAAAATTTACTTCATGTTCCTATATTGACCACAAACCTCATTTCTATTAGCAAACTTATATGAGACCTAGGTAATGTTGTTCTTCATCCTAATACATGTCTATTTTTTGACGAGATGTCTATGAGGGTGATTAGACTTGCTATAGAATGGAGTGGACTCTATTATTTGGAGCTTCCAAGCCAATCAAGCATTGTAGGAGATCAAAACAACATTCTAAAGAACCCTAACCTGCCAAATAATGAAAAAATATTGGCTTCAACATCAAAGATTAAGACATCCCTCATTTTTTATTCTGAAAAATTTATTTTCTTCTTTGTTTCACCACTCAAATATCTCTAAATTTAAGTGTGAAGTATGTGAATTTGCCAAACATAAAAAAATATATTTTTCTGAAAATAATATGAAATGTTCAATACTTTTTTTGTGTTCATAGTGATGTATGGGGGTTTGAACCAACATGTAACACGTGGAGCTAGGTGGTTTATCACTTTTATTGATGATTGTATATGAATGATATGAATTTATTTATTTAAAAATAAATTTAAATATAGAGATCTGATATAACTTCTTCAATAAAAACTTAGTTTGCGACAACAATTCAGAGGTTTAGATTTGATAACACCAAAGATTACTTCAATCATATCTTAACCTCTTATTTCCAAAAAGAAAGTATAGTATATGAATCATCATGTATTTATATACCCCAATAAAATAGGATGGCTGAATGGAAAAATGGTCATCTATTAGTGATGAGCAGAGCTCTCATTATTCAAAACAATGTACCAAAATATTTTTTAGAGTGGGGGAGTTCTTATGACTTCCCACCTTATAAATTGTCTACCAAGTAAAATTTTGAATTTTAAAAGTTCAATTGATATGTTATCTTTTTTTTTATTGTCAAATTCTATTAAAAATGAGCCTCATACCTAAGATATTTGGGTGTATAGGGTTTGTACATATTCATAAACAACATAGAGATCAATTAGATCCTAGAGATCTAAAATATATTTTTGTAGGATATTCTCAAACAAAGAAAGAATATCATTGTTATTATCCTCGAACAAAGAAATTTTTCATTTCAAAGGATATTACCTTCAATGAGAAGGAAGCATACTATAACACATCAAATCATCATGATAAGATTGAAACATTAGAGGATCCATAATTAAATTTTTTACTTCCTACTACTAATTCATTACCAAACCTCACTATGACATCAAACCACTTGTTCTTGAATCTACTCCTAACGTATTCCTCAAAGAGAAAAGATTTGACCAATTATATTACATAAAAAAAAAGAATACCTCAGAATCTATGCATATTCAAGAATCCTCATAAGATGACTCAAATGAGACATCTTAGACCAGCACCTTACCTATTGATGAACAACTTACCTATTACTGTTCAAAAGGGGGTAAGAGAATGTACTAAAAATCATTATATCTTATAACACTTTTTTGTCATATAATAAATTATCACCTTCATAAAAGGCTTTTGTATCTAACCTAATTTTATCTCAATCTCAAAGACTGTTTTTGAGGCTTTAACTCATGAGAAGTGAAGACAAACTATGAATGAGGAGATAGAAGCTTTGAAAAAAAATGATACCAAAGAACTTGTATGTCTATTAATAGGGAAGAAAGTTGTTGGCTGCAAATGAGTATATACAATTAAATATCATTCAGATGGATCTATAGAAAGACACAAAGCTAAGCTAAGTGCAAAAAGATTTACACAAACTTATGGAGTTAATTATCTTGAAATTTTTGCACTAGTAGCAAAAATGATACAATCAAAATACTTTTGTCATTAGAAATTAACTCTTCTTGAGATCTCCAGTAATTTGATGTTAACAATGTATTTTTATATGGTGAATTAGAAGAAGAAATATATGTAGAGGTACCACATGGATATTGTGTGTAGGTTGTAGAAAGCATTGTATGGACTAAAATAATCTCCTTGAGCTTAGTTTAGTGAAGTCATGAAAGTTATGCTCAAGAAGGTGATCAAACTTTATTTGTCAAACATTTGTCTTCAAAAGGAGTCACAATTCTAATAGTATATGTGGACAATATTATTGTGACAAAAAATGATGATGCAGAAAAAATATTTATCTCGAGAATTCAAGATGAAAGTTTTAAGAAGATTAAAATACTTCATAGGTATTAAAGCTGCTTATTCTAAGAATTCTATTTGTTTGTCTCAACAAAAAAATGTGATAAATTTGTTACAAGAAACTAGAAAAATAGCTTGCAAACTAATTAATTCTCCAATTGATCTTAATCTCAAGTTAAGTACAATGGAGGAAGACATTATTATAGATAAAGGAATGTATTAATGACTAGTAGATAAATTGATTTATCTATCACATACATAGCATATATAGTCAATGTCATTAGTCAGTTCATGCATAGTCCGAAATAAATACATTTGTAGGCACCATATCGTGTTCTACACTTTCTAAAAAGAACACCAAAAAAAGGCATTATGTTCAAAAAACATGATTATCTAACAATTAAAGTATACAAAGATGCAGATTATGTTAGACTTATTGTAGATAGTTGATCAACATCAAGATACTATAAATTTTTTGATGGTAATCTTATTACTTGGAGAAGTAATAAATAGAGTGTTTTAATTAGATCAAGTACAGAAATTGTATTTCATACTATGACACAAGGTATTGTGAGATTCTATGAGTCAATATCATCTTGAAAGATTTGAAGATCAATATATAGATAGTTCAATGAAACTTTATTGTGATAATAAATCAACAATCAATATTGCTCACATCTCTATTCAACATGACAGAATTAACCACAAAAATTAATCGTCACTTATAAAAGAGAAGATAGATAGTAGATAAATATATACTCTATGTGCTTACAACTGATCAAATTACAAATATATTCACAAAAAGACTTACATAACAACATATTCTACCATCTTGTGTCCAAGTTGAAGGTGAACATTCACTAACTTGAGGCGAAGGGTTAAAAATACTTTTTCTGTTTACTAGTTTAGTCCTTTATTTTTCTGTCCATCATACCTTATAATAAAACCATATACTGGACCAATTCAAATTGAACTAAACCAGTTTACCCTCTCCCATTTCATAACAACCGGTTGGTATAAACACCAACCAACATGTAAGCATTTGAGTGAGATGAAATTTAGGGCTTCAGCCTTTTTCATTTTTAGTATATCTCTCTCTCTTGTTCACTGCTGGCACAGAAAGGCAGGAAGGAAAGCATTCAGAGATGATCGAAGTCCAACACGATTTCTAACAATAATATACATATATGGCAGTATTAGGCTGACTCCTAAAGATTAACAATTGAATACGGGTAAAAATTTGGCCTTATTTCAATTGACTTTCCAGTATCTGGGAACCCTAGGTTCATCTGCCTTAGTTCATCAGAAGATGATGGACAGCGGAGCCATGAGCCACGTTTATGTAAAAAGGTCATCTACATTGCACTCACCAAGGAAAACCTTGATACTTCTGGGAGAACCACAGTTGCCTTCAGCAATAATCGCTCTGTCATTGGCAGCCATATGTGCGATTATCTTGTAGATCATCTCGATCTGAACAACATGGCCACAATTTTCACTTTACAGCAGGCATAAAAAGAGTTACCAAAACTGGTTTATTCGGTTCAATTTGTTCTTCATACCTCCTCAGCAGCATGGCAGCGGTCTGCAATTTCCTCAAGTGTCAATGGCTCGACTGGCTCTTTGCAGCTGGAGCAGCAAAGTTGTCAACATAGAAGCCTGATGTTTTTTCCTTTGAATTACTAAAAACAACAACGTGAGTAACCTTCGGTTCATTTAATGGAGATACCTGGCTTCATTCAGAATAGTAAGGACCCTCTTCTGAAGGGCTAACACTTCTCCTGCAGCCTTTTTACCAGCTTCAACCCCTGCAAATCACAGAGGAGGACGGAGTGGAACAATAAGAGGCTTGCTGCCTTGAAAGGATGAGTTGTAAGGAGATTTGAATCAAGGTCACACCTGGCTGATGGTAAGCATTTATGTTGACCAACGATGCATAAAGACCTACAGCTCGCTCATAGAGAGCAATCAGGGCCCCCACAGCCCTTGGAGTAACTTCCTGCACAGTGACTGTGATTGACTCACGGTCATTAGAATAGAGAGCTGCTCGGGTTCCCTGAAAAGGTTAAGGCCCAAATGGAAGCTTTATCAATAAATCAAGCGTACGTGCAAATTAATTATTTTTATTTTTATTATTATTATTAGATGTAGGAAAAAAAGAAAAGAAGCATGAGTATTGGCTTTGCATCTAAAATGAGGTCATATTGAGTTAGATGCATGCATGGTCTCAAAGCAGAAATCCAGCACAGTGCTTGACCCACTTCAAGGGGAGAAATTCAGAGGACAATGAGAGTGCAGCTAGCCAACGGCTAAAGTAGGAAAAAAAACTGTTAAACTGTGTTCATACAAAGGAAGAAGATAATGATGCACTTTGTTACTACACTGCAAAGTACCAACGCCAAAAGCAAACCAGAGGGGAAAAAGAACATAAAGGAAGATTTAACTAAATTGAAGAATATTTATAAGCATTCATATTTGAAACATTTAAGATGCGATGCAATGATTCTGAAAAAAGGAAAGATGTGAAGAAACTATATGAACGCGTCATCTCACAAGCTGAATCAATCTTCAATTCTGTAGATCAGGGAACCCTGTGAAGAAACAATGATGAATTCCTATTTATTTCGTTTGATGAACTGTTTCATGAGGAATCATCAAAAATAAGTGCATTTTCTTACTTCCGCTCATTTGCTACAGGAAAACACTATTCCCTAAAGTCAGGCATCACAATGAGTCATCACTCGAACTGCACCCAGTAAATATGCAGCTTCCTGGCTTCACACGAGCATCTTATGATCTTCAGGCAGCCGAGAAGTTGTGAGCATTATGATGCAGATCTTTTGTACAGCAATACTCCCTAGTTATTGAAGTAAAACAAGGTATTAGTCAGCAAGAAGAGCTGACAAGGTTCAGGGCTAACCTGCATCATTCCAAATAAGTAGTCACCACATGTAACCCCTGGTTCGAGCTCCCAGTCGTGGCCAGGAGGCCTATCACGCAACACTTCGATAAAAGTCACAAAAAAGTTGTGGACCCCCTCCCTTAATTGCTGAATATAACTGAAAAATTAGGTCACAATGCTTCAAAGGTGAAGTCTGGCTTCAATCTGGAGATGTACTAAATAAGTCAGAAAGCCAAGGCATAACTCACGCATGCTGATCAGTGCTTCCTTTATTTCCATAGACGCTGAGGCCCTGATTTACCTGTAGAAGAAAAGAAAAGTAATGGTCCGGTGAGATCCTCTCATCAGTACTTCAGCAATAGGGAAGAGGAACACTAATAAATATGTAATATGTGTCCTGGTCAGACATGTTGATCGCTAATAAAACAGTCATCACTAATGTCGTACACAACAGATGCAAACTATAAATGCCAGAAAACTCCCTTACAAGTCCAAAACAGAAGAATGTGCTACCCAAGTAATACATATTTATAAACAAGTTAAAAATAAAATCTGATAGGAGGTCAAGAGAATTCTACAGAAAGTAATAATATTTAAGTTGATGATAGGATCTTCTCACTAAAGTGATCCAAACCAGAGTCATGCATCTGAGCATAACCAGCCAGTGGTAGCAGCAGTTGACCATGGGCAACCATAATCGATTCTTTACACCCTATGACCCATATGTCAAAAAAAGCAAAACCAAGCAAATGCCAAAACAAAAAAAGTAAACAATTTTACGAATCTGAAGATAAAAGCTTCATTTTATGGATCAATGTTCTCTTGTCAAGAAAGATCATTTCAAAGGGATAGTGCAGCACCTGTTCCCCGTTTTGTTTCTTGCCTTCGTATTATTCAGATGGAAGTTGCTTCCATATTTTATTTCTTTCGACTAAAGTAAAGATGGCTAAGAGTACAATTGTGACTAAGGGGACAGATATGCTGTTCTTCATCCCTCAGTTGCATCCCAGGGACGTCCCAATCCTCACAGCTCTTTAGCATTGATTCTAAATCTCAGGGTCAAGATACAGCTTTGAGACTCCCTTGATCCATTAGGGCCAGCAGCATAAGTTATTGATCGACAAACACGTTACCTAAGACGTTTAAGTTGAATTCTTGATCAGTTTGATTGACTACAAGGTCAAGGGTCTTCCCATGCTGCGATCCTAAACTGGTGACATTGAAAGACGCAACCACTGGAAGGAGCTGAGATCAGCCTGCTAAATGAAGTGGATGGCCTTAGTTGTAAAGAGGTTGACAGAATGGTAATTGTAGCCCAAATAAGGTGCATGAACATTCAATGGAAATGAAAGAAAAACCTCGACCACAAAGATTCCAAAAAAAATTCCTTTCGCACTATCTTGAAATGAGATATATCCAAACAGCCCCTTTTTACCAAAAAAAGGATAATATGTTTTGAAATAACACCTTGACAATGAAAGGAATAGGCATTGATGAATCAAGGATATATATCAAACTGATCACGCAAACTTAATAGGGACTGAATATTGTGATGTATCAATTCCACTTCTTCCGAGTGAGATTGTTCCTATGACTTGTGAACTGACCTTCAATCTTTAAGTAAATATGCATGCATATATGAACCCTCAACGATTAGAGTATTCACACATCTATGCAGATTATTGACAATAACTTTCCGAATAGTAACAGCATGGATACCCGATTCCCATCAAGATCAAACTCCTTGCCAAGTGATTCCATGACCAACTGTTGCAAGTATCGACTAAATAATAGTAGGCTGTCCTTGTAGGGAAGCACAACCATGTCCTGTTCAGATCAACAGATGGAACTCATTAGATGAAATATCTTGTTAAGTTTTAGCCTTGTAGTTTACAAATATCACTTAGATGCACAACCTTGGATCCCACTCCATCGGAAGCCCAGTACCAGCACAGAGCAAGTAAAGCTGCAGGATTGTTCTTCACCTGGATAACAAATGTGAGAATCAGAATCCGCGGGTTAGAAGATAATACAAACGCGCCTGCGCTCTGTACACAAGAAAATAATGTACAAAAGAAGCAACAAAAATAAAGTTGATCTTTGCAACCAGCTTGAAAAATATATATATAAGAAATAAAATATATGAGAAAAATATTTCACCAATTTTCTTTCGAAAAACTTACAGACAAGGCACAGAAAATAAAACTTTAACAGAGAAAAATTAAGCAGGCATATAGTTCATCTGCTAGAGACACAAGCAAAAAACTGAGGTGCTTTCCTCTGGCGGCTAACCAGGCGAAATGGGCCACAGCTTTCCCTAGGAGACTCTCCTGATAGGCTTGCATGCATGAGGGTGAACATATAAAGACATGACACATGTCAAACCAAAAAAATGTAGCCAAGAGGTTAACCCGAGTGGTGAGATGCCTACACAACAAAGATAAAACTTTTTTCTCCTTTGAGGGTTTTGCTACTGGATGGCAATCGCAACCTTGTAAGAATCTTTTTCTCAATTGTTTAAAAATGAAGAAAATTGAATATTGTTTTAAAATCATATCCGAGTTTTTCTGAACCATGAAAACGGGCATAACTCTGATCTTCAGTCTTCCTGAAGCCAAAAGGATTGATTAAATACGTACATGGAGGAATATCCCGCTCCATTGAGGGTTCGCATCATTGAGATGCAAGATTTCATGAAATATCACTCCAAGTCACATGATTCACACGAGTGACAGCAGTACCATTTGCTGCCGCTTTTGTCAGAGGAAAGGATAAAAGGCCAGCACCTATGCCAATGACACATGCCTTCCTCCTGCAGTCTCCACTCCCTCAGTCATCATTATTGGCTGGGTGGGTCATTCCCAACAAACTGTTGCCATGCTTAGGTCAATTGTGATTCATAGCAAATGAGAACGAATATGGCGGCTAAAATATGACCAAATGGACAAAGGGATGAATGTTTCACCTACTGACGAAAAGGATGGCTTTAAAATGTGAGATTTTCCGAAAAGGATCCCCGTGATAGTGTGATTTATCGTCACTTGGCTGGGAAAACACATTCAATTTAAGCTACGAATGATGGGTGTTATGGGACAAAATTCTGGAATAGAAAGGATAACTACGAAATTGTATAATAGTATTGCATACCCCTGCAGAATCATAACAGCACAAGAAAACTCATTTTACACAAGACATGAGCCCAGTAACAAGTTCTCTAGACATGAACACATAAATACTGCTCCTAATCATGAAAGCCAAAAAATGAGTCCCTTCTTTTATGTTGTAAACCCAATTACAATCATATACATAGAAACCACACCAAACAACAAGAAAAAGAATAACAAGACAAATGGTAGTGCATACCACAGTACTTCGATTTGCTTCATCCATTATGGATGCACCAACAAGCATTTCTTTGATATCAATTCCCTGATTTCGAAGTCACTACGAAATCAGTAGAAGCTTCCACAAGGTTTACAGTTAACAAATAATCATGAGCTAAGTTCAGAATAACATGCCTGAAGGGCAGCTGGAAGTAAACCAACTGCAGACATCTCTGAAGTTCTACCACCCACCCAATCAAACATTGGGAACCTTGCCACCCAACCTTCAATTCTGGCAGTATTATCTAACAGAGAATTTTCTTGTGTTATTGCAACTCCCTGGAGTAATCACAAACAATATGAAAGTATCTCCATCAGATCTTTTTATCATAAATTATGATAAAAACGTACCGAACTGTTTAAGGCGTTATTGCACAACTTGGAAAATAACAAGATACTTGACACTTTGCTGGTCGGTCGGTATATATAGCACAACCATGACAAGGTTCCACATAATCCATAGTAAACATAATGGCCTCTATATTTGCCAGCCAACAACCTCTAAATAATGATCTCTTTGTTGAAAATTGAATTAATATAGCACATGATCAACGAAGAATGTTCCAAGTACAATTAGGAAAAAACAGGATAATATCTCAGACAGTATTGAACAATTAGAACATAAAAACCACAAAATTATTTTACCCTAGCAAGATCTCACCATTAGAACATAATATGATCGGATTTTATTTCTGTGCGAAAGAAGTATAATTAAGGGTTAGGTTGTTGGTCAGTTTCCTAATTTGGTTGAGTATGCTATAAATCGTGGCATTCAACCTAGGTAGTTTTCCTTTTTGGTTTAAGGCTAATTGTATAAAACCTGCAATTTTTCTATGAATTGACATGACATAAAATGAAACAGCATCATGTAAAGCAAAAATGTCTTTCTAACTGAATTTTAACACGCATGGACAACACAGTAAAACCTTCGCTCATTCAAAACTTGGTTTGATCGATAGTGCATATTAAAAAAAGTTCTTTATTTTCATGATATCGAGGAAAAGTCAATATCTTTGTTGGTTTTTCCTTGATTAAGGCAAGAGATGCTCAAAAGGTTAACCAAACATTAACATTAAGAAAACTAAATGATCCAGCGCCATATTTTTCACTCTACAGTTTATGGAACCTATTATTCATGACATACTTCAAGGTAGCAAAGGCACTTGCAATGTTTTTGATGATAGAGGGAGGGGATCATTCATGGCAAGACAAGATTAAGAAGAAAATGAAACAGAAGCAAAGTCAAGACCTGTTTTGAGAAATCCAACCCTGCTTCTCTAAAAGCTTTCTGTACTTCCAGTAAGCCATTTCGCGTTTCAGGCGTCCCTCCACTCTGTATGAGTAAAAGGGGAAAGAAGTCTAATGAACAAGTTTGTGAAGCAAACAAGATTGCATGCATGCTAGAAAAAGAAACCAATATCTCAAACATACCTTAGAAATCACAATGACAAGTGTAGATGCTAATTCAGGCCCAAGCTGTGCAATTTGATGATCAATTCCCGCCGGATCTGTATTATCAATAAACCTTATCTGCCACATGAGCCACAATTAAACAGAAGAGTAAAAACGTCATTCTAAGATTGGATTTCAGAAGCTTGTACAAAAATTATTGGATCAGTGCAAAATAAAATGTAATTATAAAGCCTAATGAGAGATACACCACAAAAATTATGCCTTCAGGAGTAAACATCAGCAAGAAACATGATTTTGAGTTCCAGGGTATAATCCACAAAACTAGAATCAAGTCTAGAAACATTGAAGCAATTACAAAGAAGATCAAGTCGTAATCATTTTTAAAAAAAGAGGCAAAAGCTCCGAGTAGCCTGCCCTCTTTCTAACCTTTGACATGGACGACTCTATGACCATCGCTGGCCCTGGTGTAAGACTCCAAACGAAACATGGTCACCTAGAAAGCTGATATTCTGAAAGTAAAACCCCCCCTTCATTTGAAAGATATAGTTCCTTTCTGCAGAATATTCCAACGTTTTGGGCAGGAGAAACCCATCAAAGGTCCAGGCCAAATCACGTGGATGATGCAGCGTATTTCTTTTTGAAAGTACAACCCATGCAGCTGATAAATTCAGAAAGCTCAAAGTCTACCCTACTGTAATATATCATATCCTCTGGACTACATGAAACAATTCAATTTAACTATGTTTCTGATTGACTTCCTTCCTTCTTCGATAACCTATGAGGCCAGTTTTTCTGACTGATCAGAGATACAATATTTTCACAAGTTTTTCACTTCGCCATAGACCTCTTTCCCCGAGAAGAAAACCAGTGAAACGTCTGGTCTGAAAGGCTGACCTAATGATCTACGAGATGACAAACTATTTATTCGATCTTCAACAACTGTACATCAGTGGGCTACATATTTTAAAGAAGATGATGGTCTAGATGGCTGCACGCTGACTCTAAGTTTGCTTTCTTACACCGCCATCATCATCATGAACCTCAATAACACCTATCTCTTGAATAGAAGTCACAGGCTACAATGTCCTAGATAAACTGAAACAGATTCTGTGGTAATGCTAAGAGAAGTAATTGAATCAGCCACCTAAGAGCTTTCTGCATCACTCACCAGGCATCTTGTGTACAACCGTCACCAGCCACAACTGCAGCAGCATACCAGAGGCTGACGCAAATCAAGCAAGGATAAATAGTCGGGAAAAAAAAACTGTCTTATCAATTCATTGAACGATTTCTAGTTATATACAAGTACCCTGAAACCAGAAAAGGAAGAAAACCGAGGTCGAATCCCACAATTTATGGGACACTCAACTAAACCGGGCAACTGACCAACAGCCTAGCCAACCTAGGAAAGTGACCAACAACCTAACCAGCCTAGGAAACTGACCAACAACCCAACCAACCTAGGAATCTAACTCATAACCACACGTGTTTTACTCACAGAGGATACTCTTCATAGAGCGAAAACCTATCCATCTCAATGTCCAAAAAGAAATACTACAGCACAAACCTAATCTTGCAACGAATACATATACCAATAAGTAATATCAGCTAACTTCCGGCCAATCCTTAGGTTTCTTGGTTATTGTAAATGCTTGCGGGATCACATATCCCCCTAAAATTGGAGTCGGCAGGGCCAACTCCTAATTAAATCAGTTGATTTGTTTCTGAGTTGGTTGACTTAATAATCCATGCTGCTATCAGGCCAACCAGAACAGTATCCACTTGTAAAAATCAATATAAAAAATTAGATGAATTTCAATCCAGAGCCCAGCTTTGTAAATTTTCAAATGCAGGATGCAGTCTATTAATTTCAACAGTATCCGATATAGGTGTTATGGCAAGGCATTGCTTCACATGAGAAACACTTCTTTACACAGAATTATACAGCTTTATTTCGTAAATTAATAATATAATTTAATTGCACATGCAAAACGTACCTTTAGAGGAGGATTATCAGGGGCCAATGCCTCCGCAACAAACTGAGGTCCTAAAGCAGATCCACCAATTCCCACAGACAGCACTTGGGTAAATCGACCAGTTGGACATGATGGAGGCTTAATCTGCTTGCACTTGAAATGTCAGATAGGAGTAAAAGGTAACCATATGATTTACACAAAACTAATGCAACGGATACGATGTAGTGTAATCAATCAGAAATGGATGATTAAGACATAAAAAATGATCAATCAGAAATGGATGCAAGAACTGTCAATTCTAGTCATCTGGATGTGCGACCCAGCTGACAGTAACTGCATATAATAAAAGCCTAAAAATGATAAATGGAATAAGGAGAATTTATAATCCAGAACTTTGAGGCTGTTAAAAGTTTTAACAGACCAATATGGTATTTCTACCTGCTCATATGCCTTTTTGGTGTCCAACCAAAAAAAACCAAAGAAATGAAAAAAATGTCCACAACATACAAAACGAATACTGTTTACTTACCAGTTTAACCTATCACAGACTAAAGACTCTAATGACTTTCACATTACTCCTATGGCTGATTGTAATTCTATTTAAGACAACAACAAAACAAAGCAAGAAATAGAATAAGTTGCCAAGAAACAAGATAAACCTAGGGTGGAGTTGCAAGAAATGGATATCTGAGAAGAAAAGCTATTTAGATCATAGTTCTTCATCCTTAGAGAACAACAAACAGTAACAAGAAACATAAACACAATTGCTGATATGTTCTATAGCAAAAAAATTCCAGAGCGTCTCTCTGATAAACTCAAATCTTCACAATCTACTTACGCAAAAATAAAAACCAGAAACGTAAACCATACTGTAACACCTTTTACGACTCCAACATCCCTTACACTTACCAAATTCAAAACCCTTTGAGGATCTCTTATGAGCAACAAAGAACATGTTAAACCCAAACAAGCAATGTTTCACACATAACAGAACAGGAAAGTTTTCAGGTGTCCTAACAGCCATGCAACACCTGTACAAGAATGTAGAAACTTAAAACCTCTGACGTTGGTAATAATGACATCAGTTATAAAACTAGGATGACTCTGAAAAATCTGGAAAGAACCTCTGACGAATGTGGGGCTTCCCTAATGAAACTTAAAACCGATCAGGAAAACTAACGACCGAGAAAGAAGGCTTTGTGAAAAAGTTATACCAATAAATCTTTAAAAACTCAACTCTCTGTCAATTAAGCAATGATTCAATATGAGCTCTACACTTCATTTCAAATTAAATATATTGAGTTCAATGGTCTCTGTATTCACAAAAGAAGATGTGCACTAAAAAACTTTTCCCAAGTTTTCTTTATTGGTACTCCCCTTCACAATTTCATTTGCAAGACCCCAATCAGAAATCTGGTTTCCCAAAAGATTGGCTCAGCATATTTGTTTTCAACAAGGGAGTGGAATCTACTTAGCTAAATAATAAGCAGAATAGGCCCACATGATTCGAATTCAGAGACTTTAGAGCCCCTTTTTTTCTAACAGACATATCAAGATTCCAACAATGGACATGAGAAAGAAAGAATTAAAGGAAAAGAAAAGTAATGGATATGAGAAAAAAAGGAAGAGGTGTTGAACAGATATTCTTGTGATGGAATCAAGGAAGCATGTATTGGGAAAGAATGGAAACAAAAAAAGAGAGAAAATATAAGAAAGATATAAAATAAAAGTGAGGAATCTCAGAAGACCCAAAAAAGACATGAGAAACGAGAACAGTACTGAAACCAATCTAGTTCACGAATGCTGCATTACATAATTGCAAACTAGATGACTGACAATGGCTTGTTGAGCTTGTACATATCAATTCAAGGACATGCAAACAATCATTTTACGATAGAAACAATCACTTATCCATGTGATATCAAGACTGAATTGAAGAGCTATAATGCAGCCTACAGCACTGATTCCGAAAATGAGCTCAACTCTGAAAGTTAAGAAGGCAAAGGTAGTTCTAGTAAGAGATAAATAGGTTCTACGACCGATGCTATCAACCAGCTAAGCTGCATGAATTATATTCATAGTAAAAATTCTAAAATCTATCAGGATTAAAAGATTTATTGTTTTGGTGCTCGTTCACCATTGTACAACCTCTACATTATATTTTTTCAGAGTCCCCTTCAAAATAGTCTTCAATCTTATGATTTATTTTTAAAGAGTCCAAAGAAACTTCTCTTTCCCAGCCAAAATATTCCTCCGAAGTTCCCACGTTGGATTGCAGCAAATTGAATTGGGCAAACCATAGTCGAAGAAATTTCTTATTTCAGAACCCTCTGTAACATTGAGTTTTTCTATTTCTTCATCAACAACATCCCTCAGGGATTTCTAATCAAACAATAGCTAATTTGATGCTTCATAACATCCCCACCTCGCCCCATTCAAAAAGCCTATTCCATAGGCCCTAACCCTGATACCCGTTGATTGCTCCCTTTCTGCTCGCCTCTCCTTTTTGTTGCAGTCATCCACAATAAGAGAAAATAGAAGAGCGGGCAGAGATCAAGAAAGAATTCGCAGGAAAAAAGAATAACATTACTCCGCATCTGAGCATTCGTATCTCTTAAACCTCATCTTCTTGGCATTTTCTAGTTCAACGACTTACCTCAGCCTCTCAATTGGATGTGGATTGGAGATGCTAAACCAAGTCTATATTATTATTTTTTACTCATAAAAAAAAGATCTGCCAATGAATGGAGATCAAGACACGTCTCTACCATCAGGCTTACCCCCTCACCTGCTTATGCCATATCCCTTTACCCCTGACTTTTCTCCTACTTGCTATACCCAGCTTCGGTCTTGGAAGCACATAGCAGGCACAGTCTTCAGGTGCCCAAATCACAGCCAACCAATGTTTTCATTTCATCCTTCAATCCAATCAACTAGTCATTTCATACAACACCCATATGATTTCACATTTGACCTGGCTAGGTGAATCAACAACTTTTGTTCATAAACAAATTGGATAGTTTAATGCTTTGTAGATGGCAAGGCACACTGATAAACCAAAACACATAGAACAGTCCCCACTAAGGCTTTCTCCATACAGCTTCCAGAACCCAGTGTCTGGAGAAAGGATAATGGGAGTCAAAATTTACAGAATCTAAGTACAATCATGAAGCTCTTTCAACCATAAATCTCCCATGCCATCTCTCCTCTTTAACGTCAAAAAAGTAACAGTTCGCTGCTGGTGATGGATATCCCTCCAGAACAAATTCTTCCAATGTCTTAGCACATTATGTAGCCCCGAGATACAAAGGTGGCTCAAATGTCAGGAGAAAAATCTCCTCTAGAAAAACTTTCACGGTCACAACAGATCCCCAAGGTTTTTTCCACTGGTTATTGTTCCTAGCCGAAACCCCCTTCTCTTCATCTTTCTGCACAACTAAACCCATCTACTGACATATCCCACTGATTTCACAGCATCCTCCAAATGCGGTGTGTAATGGATTTTCGCCACTATCTTAAATAGTTTTCCTCCTCTCTTCTCTTATGAAGCATAAGCGGTCTGAATCATTAAATATGTCCTTCTCTCCCCTAATTTTTACTCTTCTAAAATTTCTCCTTTATAGAACCCACCCCCTCTGAGGAAGGAAGATAACCATCCCATCCAATGTTCTCAACCTTGATTCATAGTTTTAGCATATAAGGGACGGAATCAATATCCTGGAAGCATTCATCAACATGCTCAGACACTGGAGACTTTGTAAAAAGAACTGAGACTGTTATTAGGATTTACCCTATCTTTTCTTCTATCTTCAGTGGGAGTACCAAACAAGCTTCCTGGAAATTAACACTCCTCCGTTAAACTATGATCTTTAATGGAAGAAATCATCTGGCGGGGGAGCATTCTCGATTTTGCATTATTTCCTTCTCTGCAAGATCACTAAGAAGTGATCTGTGACCCATGAGCCACCAATACATTTAATCTTATCTCATCATTAAAACGTGATATTATGTGGTATAAATCTGGACAATATCATGCAGATCCAATGCCCAAATGAAAACCCATTGCAAAAGTCAACTACATGCATGAAGTAGAAGCATAGTGTTCTTAGATCATCACCAAAGTCTGAAACGAGCAAAAGGGAGTTGATTTGTAGGGTCAATATAAGTCCAGAGAGAGTAAGAAAGTCCTAAGAGACGGTGTATGCCCCGTTGACAATCGAAGCCCGCATTTAGTCGGAACGCAGATGTCAACGGGTATCATTAGACGCGTGCAAGACGATCTCGTGAAAGGGAATGCGAAGGAATCATGAAACGATCCTCAAAGGAGAAAGATACAGGGAATGATGACAGAAAAATAATAGAGAAAGAAACAGGCGCCAGACCTCGCCGTTGATGACCTTTCCAGCGAACTCGCAGATACTAACGAGGGTGTTCTGAATCTGAAATCTCAGGAACGCAGTGGGGGAAAGCTCGGGATTACGCAGCCAGTAATGCCCCACCATCCTGCCCTCGTCGGGGTTAGCGATGGCCCCCTTCTCGAGCTCCCGCATGTCCGCGAAAGCCTTCTGAAGCTTCGGTTCCATCCACTCGAAGAACTCGTCTGTGAATCCGATGCGGCTGACGTCAAGGAACAACCCTAACTCCTTGTTCTGGTACAGCCAGTCCACATAGCGGCGCCACAGCACAACCGGATCCTTCTCTACTCCACCTCTGCTCTTCTGCTTCTTCTCCAGTGGCGTCGACGCCCCGGCGCCCAAAGCAACGTCGGCGGGCGGGGTGTCCCGCGCCACCGAGCGCAGCGGACCGCCCCGCTGGCGGGTGGCCCCGCCGATCAACGGCGTCGCCGCCCATTTCGCCCCCCGGAGGTTCTTCCCTCCGGCACAGGCCGGAGGGAAGATCTTGTGCGATTTCAATGCCGACGACGATGACGAGCAGATCCCCGAAATGGATGCCATGAGAGAGAAAGAGAGAGATAACAGAGAATGAGAAAGAACGAGAGCAATGAAGGAAGAAAGGACCAGAACAGCACTAATGGCAGCGGCGGCGGCGGCAGAAGGTCATCGTCGTTTAATCCCTCAGGGCCATCGAGCAGAGGCGCCTGTCGGAGGCCGGTAAGGGGCGGACGACCAGTCACGAGACCGTAAAGCGGCGACCTTTTCTGCCCCTCTTTGAGCACACGGGGTCTCCGGGAAGAGGATGCCCCCCGAGGGAGCTGCCACGTGACATGTGAGGTGGAGGTCAGACCCGGCCCGCCCCCCATGGCTACGGCGACCCGCAAGTCTGCGGATGAGATCGGTGGACCCCGTGGCAAGATGAGGGGGCAGATATTTTTGATGTGGGCCCCACATGAAACCTTAATTCTCCCCTAATTATCGATTAATGATTAAACAAAGAAAAAGTATGCGTGGGAAGATAGGGGGAATGATGTGGGCCCCACCACTCCCCAATTTCACTCATTACGGATTAACGATTAAACAAAAAAGAATCCGGTGACCGAACCCGGCCCGGTTTTTTTCCGGCCGGAGGCCCCGCACGTGGCAAGATGGGACGTGGCCGATTTTTTTCATGTCACCTTCTCATTGCTAAATGATTAATGATTAATGATTAATGATTAATGATTAAATTAAAACATGAGGTGGCCGAAGCGCCTTTTTTTTTTTTTGGCCATACGTGGCATGATCAGGGGAATCGGATATTTGTTTGATGTGGACCCTCATCCTAATTATATACTAATTACTGATCAATGATTAAACAAAAAAGCGGGACCCATGAATGTGGGACCCGCATAGTTGGCCTCTCATTTTCCGGCTCAACTCGGAGGGGGATGGTTTGGGCTAGGTCCGAACCTTATCTTCATAACTTCATCAGAACCCAGTATAAACCTTATCTCTTGGTCAGCATTGGGCCCGATTTGGCGTGGGCTGGGATTGGTCAAGGCTTTGCATGTTGACATCATTATCAGTTTCATAAATCAGTAAAAAAATTAAAAAAATGAGCACTGAATTTTAACTTTAGAAAAAGGTGGGATATAACATAAGAAAATGGACATTACGGGTGGGTTGTCACTTAGATGATGACCATCAATTAAGATGGCTCTTCACTTCTTGTAGAAGCATGCAAAGTTGACCTTTTTATTTGGATGTAAGCAACACTTGGTCAACACGTATTCCCACTCAAAAAATCAACATTTCATAGTCCACATGAATCAAAGGTAGATGGGAATACTATGGAGTGGAAGGCAAGTGAATCTTAGCCATTTAATATTTGGTGAAATAAATAGTATTCTATTAAATGATCTGATAATCTTCCTTCTTGTCATAATTCGTTGGTGGGCTATGGATTTTTTTTGTCAAAAAATTGTTTACATGCATCATTGTAATGTATCATACCCCATGATTTTGACTGAAATTATCTATTATAAATGTGATTATACCTATCAATAACTACCCATTATGAAATTAAGATATGATTTTTTACTATACCTAGACTTTAATCATGGATGGGAAATTAAGTTCATTCTTGCATGTTCATCGATGATAAATAACTTATTTTGACCTTATATCTAAGTTAATGTTTTTATTTCTATAGTGATTTTTATTTTATAAGTTAAATAGGTTATTGAAATTTGATAAGATGAGGAAATGGGTAATTCTATTAGTTAGTGAAGGGTTTATTAATACACTTCATATGGGTGATGGTAATAAAGGGGGAGTGAATGGGGAAAGAAGGAGACTTCAAAATATTATGGTCTTTTGGAGATAGAGACAACTCTATTGAAAGGTTGTTGTTAATTTTTACTCTCTTCACTACTAGGATCATTTTCTTAATTTTCTTGTTCCTATGTCTTTCTAAACTCTATTTGAACTATATCTTGCTCCTCTTCAATATTGAAGTTTTATCGATTGGTATTAGAGTTATGGATCCAATGGCTACCATAAGTAATGAAACAAAATTTGAGAGTTTAAAGGAAATATAATCAATGAAGGTCAAGCTACAAAGATTACCAAAGATAGAGAACATGTTAAAACAACTTCCTTCGATAGATAAAAACATAGAGCATTTGAATCAAGGTTTAGCACATATCATATAGATATTGGCATAGATGCAATTATTAGGCTAGATGACTGAAAAAATAGATCCAAAGAAGAGATTTACAAAAGGAGGTGATTCAAGTGCAAAGACACGAAGATGTCAAAAGAAGGACTACCTCATCAAGAAAAGGAAAATGGCTAGCAACAATAGAATTTGTCTGGAGAAATTGATGCGAGAAGATGAAATAAGTTAGATAACTCAAATCTAATGAAAGTGAAATGACCAGTGGGTAATAGTGAGCCATGAAGGATAAGGTGATAATTAGAACTTCTTATATTTGATGGAGAGAATCTAGATCAATAAATCCTCTTAATGAAATCATATTTTTCTATTAATAGAATGATTGAGGTGGAAAAATTGATGACTATGAAGTGAGTTTTGAAAACAAAGTGCTAACATGGATCAAATGGATTAATGTGAGAAGACATTTTGCTTGTTGAAAGAAATTCAAAGGTCAACTACTCTAGAGGTTTGAATCTTCACAAGATGAGAGTCTTTGCAAGAGATTCATATGGATTAAACAATCTGGAATATTAACAAAACTCTTAAGGAAATTTGAGCTGGTATCAACTTCAATGGAGGAGGAACTACCTAAAGAGGTTCTTGAAGGCATCTTCATCAAGAAGTTGGAACCCAAGATTCATAAAAAAATTAGAGTCCAAAGGCTTATCGATCTACATGCAATTACGAAAACATCACAATTGGTTGAATAAAAGAACCACACTATTATAATTATTTGCAATGGGGGTACATCAATGTCAACTTGAACAAATATTTATGTAAGTTCAAACATTTTGACTCAAATTTGAATAGAGTATTGACTCACAATTCTATTAAGTATTTGAATAACTATTAAGTATTGACATTTGCTCCTTGTGAAAAAAGAAGATGAGACAAGCTAGATATTTTACATTGACTACTAGAAGCCATATAGAGTTACAATTCCTATAAGTTCCTTACTCTTGTGGTGGATGAGTTAATCATTAAATCATGTGACACTACAAGATTTTCTAAGTTAGATTTAAAGTATAACTATAACTAAATCTAGATGAGAAGCAAGGATATCCTATAGACACCATTCATACCGATAAAGAGCATTATAAACTTGTGACAATACAATTTGACATCATTGATGCATTGACCACCTTTTAGTTATTGATGAATTGAGTATTCTAAAGTTTTCCCAAGGGATTCATTTCAATATTTTTTGATGATATATTGGTTTATAGTAAAGATGAAAAGACACAAATAGTATTTAAATCAAGTGTTAATAATATTGAAGGAGCACAACTTACATATCATTCTCAACAACTATATATTTGAAAAATATATAATTGAGTACTTAGGACACTAAATATATCAACAACAAATATAGAGGCAGCAAAAGACAAAGTTGAAGTAATGCAAAAATAATTATCCCCAACTATCCTACGAGAGTTAATAAAAATTCTAAGACCTCACAAGTCCTTATTGGAGGTTTGTCATGAGGTATGGATCACTTTTATGACCACTAACTCAACTCTTGAAAGACTCATTTCATTGAAATGAGGAAGCCAATATATAACATTCTAAGAATTCAAGGCAATAATGATGTATCTAATTAGTTTAGTATTATTCGATATCTCCTAGTCATTTAAAGTGCAAATGAATGCATCAAATATAGATCAAGTGCAATACTTATACAAGACAAGGGGTCAATTAAATACTTAGCTAAGTGTTGTCATCAAAGAATCACTTAGAACTGATTCATGAGAGAGAGCTAATGACAATAATATTGACAATTTAGAAATGATCACACTACTTATGCAATATTTTGTGATATATACATATCAATATCAGCTTTATTTTTTTTTTAGAACAAAATCTGTTTCAACTAAAGTACTGAAAAAGAGTAGACAAAGTAGTTGGTTAGAATTTTGAGATAAAATATAAGGCAAGATTAAAAAATATGACATTATATAAACTTGCTAGAATTTCAAAATAGGTGAGAGAGAATTGAAAACTAGTTTGATCAAATAAGAAGTGGAATAGTGATGTCTAAATTATGGTGTAAAAATTATGTCCAATATAAATTATTGTTATGTAGAGGTAAGTTGTTATTATACAAAATTTCAAATCTCATTCCCTTGATTTTTAAAGAATACCACAATAGAGTCGAGAAATGCCACTTAGGGTTTTTGAGAACACAAACATTTAACATTTGACATGAAGCAAAGTATCTTAGAATATGTAGAAGGATGTGTAGTGTGTGAACATAAAACATTCAGAACTCTTTCACTCATAGGACTTTCCGACCTCTACTCATCTTTGAGTTAACTTAAGAGGGGATCACTATAGATTTTATAAACAAACTATTGAAGTCTAGGGGATACATTCAAAATTGGTGATCAGCAATCAAGAGTATATATGAATAGTTCCTTCTCCTCATACATAAGTATATACCTTAGGAAATTACAAGGGTCTTTCTTTGAGAGGTGATCTGATTACATGAAGTTAGTCTATAGTGACAAATCATGACAAAGACATTTCTCAACAAATTTTGATCAAAACTCTATAAGCTTCTAGAGATGACCATTTAGAGCACCACAACCCACAAAGACATAAATCTAACTAATTATTATTTGCAAACTTATTTGTGATGTTTCTCTTCAGACAAACTTAAAACTTAGAACGATTAGCTACCATAAATGTTGATACAATATAAATATGTTTCCTTTTAAGGTGGTTTATGGACAAGACTTTCCACCACTACTTTATTTTATCACTCATAAAACATATGTCACGTTAGTGAAGAAACAACTATATAAGCAACATTCAATGATGAATTCAAATGAAATTCAACTTAAATAATAATTGACTCTAGCCTAATCAAAGATGAGAATAGAGGTGGGTAGTAGGTGATGAGGGGTGCAGTATGCAATGGGAAACACTACTTCCTAAGCTGAGACCTTAGATATTATGGTCATTAGCACACATGACCATGAGAAGTTGTATCTTTGATAATTTTTTCTATATAAAATGGTTGAAAGAATTAGAAGCTTGTGTTATCAACAATAGAAATAATTCATATGATGTTCCATCTGTCATAGTAGAAGAGGGCATTAGGGCCCAAGGATCACAATCGATTGCTCTAAAGAATATTAGACACAAAGCTCAACTGGTCAATCAAGTCACACTCAATATTAGGCATACACCACTCTATTCAAAGACTATAAGTACATATACAATAGGAAGAGCTACTTATATTTGAAGTTATTAGAGAATCTACAGAAATGATTTAATACCCAATATGGATCTTTTAGGAGGAAGTATTGATAGGTCATCAATTCAATTTACATGTGTTAGGAAAGGGAAATGGGTAAAATCCAAGTTGTAAATTGGTTTTTAATAAACTTTGTACGTGTTGGTAAGAAAAGGGGACTGAAAGAGGGAAATAGGGGGACAACAGAGTATTAACCCTCTTGAAACGTTATCAATGGTGTTTAGGGGTTTAATCCAACATCTTTTTTGTAATTTTCTTGTTATTGTGTCTCTCTAGACTCTATTCAAGTTGGTTCTAGTTCATCTTTTGGGATTGGAGTTCTGTAACAAATTTAACCACTCAATAATTACAATTGATTATTTTCATAAAAGCACTTCACTCTTAGTAATTTATGACAATTAATTCAGGTTTAAAGTGAATGCTTTGGATATAAAGTACTCAAATTAGTACATAGGTATTCTTGTCATTTCATACTTTTGGTATGATCAATTTGAAGACTTAAAGTTATCAACTACTTGTAGGGTCTAGAACTCATAAAAAACTTTATTTTTGGTATTATTGGATTGTTGATTGACTTAGGGGATAACAAAAATAAAAAGCTAGTTTTTGGGGTTGAAGGGCGAAAAAAGCTTGGGCATGAGTCAAATGATTCATGGAGAGTAAAATCCGATAAAATTCAAAAAAGGTGGTATATTGCAAATTTATAAATAAGTCCTCACAAACTTATTGAATCATCTTCTCAACAGTCTACGTTAAGCCAACCTTGGAATCCTAAAATAACTATAACTCAGCTCCAATTAATATTTTTTGGATAAAATAAAGTTGGCATATGTTAATTTGTGACGTGGCAGGACAACCACACGGTCTTGCGCATTCAACGAGGTCGACGTGGCGCGTTACAAATGGGTTTCACTAAGGCTTTGGCGGCGGATTAGTGTGGTCGTTTCGGGAAAGCAGGTGTGTATCGATATGCATGAATGTATGCGCACTATATAGAAAATCAGGTTATTAGTCTTGTCCTCGTATGGGAGACCCCGCTCTGGTCGATTTAGCTTATAACACGTAAATTCAAGTGCATATCGATACTTACCAGCACTCGTAAGATTCCGGTGGATGCTGGACTGTCACTGGGTGACGTATTATGCTGGTTTGAAGCGATACGTACCGGTGCTCTGTTTCATCCGTTGTTGCTATCAGTTCCCCGTCTTCCTCCCTGCTCTTTCCTTGGTTGGGTCTTCCACTCACTCCATCACCATCCGGGGTGAAGCTGGGGAGTGAGAGCAGGAGGGAGGCGCGGGAGGGAGATGGTGTGGGAGGGGCTGGAGGACGAAGCATGGGACTTCGATGGCGAGGACCCTGAGGGCCAGGGGAGAGACGACCGGGGCTCCGCCTTCGGGTTCGACTTCTCTCTCCTGTCTCACCCCAAGGTACCAATCTCTCTCTCTTTCCCTCTCTCTCGCTTTCTTTTCGCTCTGTCTCTGTCTCTGTCTTCCTCTTTCTCTCTCGTTCTCGTTATGTATATATTATGCATGCATATGCCTATTTTTTTGGTCTCTGTGTTTCTCGTCTCCATTCCTCCTCGTGGTTATTTTTCCTTGTGGCATTCTGGGTTTTATCTGCATGTGCCTCTGCGAGTGGTGGGCCTTTTCTTCTCCTTCCATGTGAGGATAATATGTGGATGCAACCATGGATATGGGGTATTCAGGACTCATTATTCTTCTGTGTGAAAGACATTATAATAATATTCATTGTGTCTGATGCGATATCGTTCATCTCCTACAAAAGCCAGCTCCATCAGATCCCTTTAAGCCGTGTTCTTCTAGGGAGTGTGCAACCCTTTAAGCTCCACGCGGGTGAATGAATCCGCCATTGAAGTATTTCAGAACTGAAAAGATGGGGAAAAACTTGGTTTGTGGAAAGCAATGTTCTCATTGTTACCTAGGTTCTCAGGATTCACTTATTACAGTCTTTTAGAGGTACAGGGTGAATACAAGTGTTTGTGAGACAACGTTTCTTCTATGTTACACTGACCTCCGAAAGTTTATGACGATGCTTGCATAAAGATATTCAAGAATAATCGGTCAGAGTTATAGGGTTGTGATTTTTTTACAGATATATCCTGTACGTTTATCTCGCTGCTGGGATGTTATGTTCTAATTTCAGGTTATTTTAGTTGGAGAAGATGTGTGGATCAAAGCTATTTTCTGCGTTTTTTTTTTTTCACGTAGACCCGAATCATTCTGTTTTCTAGGGAACAAGAGCTCTTTTTCCTGATACCCATAACTCCATGGAATCTGTGATAATAATTCTTCAAGACCTCAGTATTTCTTCTTTGCTCTTGATCTAACGACAATTTAGTCATTGTACATCTATATTTTACTCTGATTCTTCTTTGTACCGTGCTCCTGCTGTTTGTTATGTACTATTTGCCATAATAATGATTAAATATTTTGAAGGATTATGCCATGTAATTTGTTTCATCATTGATTGATTTTCCTTACAGGATTACTACCGGATACTGGAAGTTGATTATGATGCGACAGATGAAACCATCAGATCAAACTATATTCGATTAGCATTGGTTTGTGACTCTTTTTAAAGAGTTAAATTATTACTTTTTGGTTCAGTGCACTGCCTAAACGTTAACCACCATCTCGTATGCTCGTAAAGAGACTATTCAAGAGAGTTTGCCCCTCAAAACGATTTTTTGTTTCTGCACAGAAATGGCATCCTGACAAACGAAAAGATGATGACGTTGCAACTTCAAGATTTCAAGAGATAAATGAAGCATACAACGGTTAGCTTTGTTTAGATAGTGAATTTACCACTATAAAAGTTGCATGCTCAGATATTTGTTTTTTCCCTTTGTAATTTAGTATTTAGACTCTTCATCTGTTTCTTGCACAAAACACTTTGGGAGGCAAAGTTAGACATTATTATTGCACTGGTGGTTTCTTCAGGCCGTAGTGAGTTCCATTGATGGTGGTTTCTTCATTAGCAATTGTTTTTGATAAAGTTAGCTCCTTTTCAAAGGGTTCGCCTCTACTGGGAGGGTAATATTTTGATTTGGAAAAATTTTGCCTAAGCTATATTGAGATGCAGTGCTTTATATCTCCTAATGTAAAAGGAAAAAACTCATTGTGTATGGCTATCATAGGTTTGGGTAGTGCTTATTCTTTCATATCTATTATAGTGGGTTGTATTGGTTCATTAGTTTTTTGTTCATGAACTGTAAATGCGACTTTTGGATGCTTCCTCTACTGATATAAGTGGGTTGCTTCTGCTGCTTCTGTCTTAAATATGCAAAATAATCTAATCATCTTTTAGGAATTCTTTGATTTTGACAAAGAAAATGCCGTTTCTTTGCAAGTTCAAGAAATTCATTTTACCCCTTCTTCACAACTGTTATCAAAAGTCCATTGTCCTTTTCTGGTCTTCCTAGTAATTGAACAAAGGGTAATCGATTAAATGCTATTTTTTGTTATTTATCTTGGTTTATATTAGTGTTATTATACCTTCTTCGTATTCCTTGTTTAACTCGAAAAACTATGAGGTAGCTTATGCAATGAAGAATAGTTATCTCATACCCAAAGAGTGCTGTCTCTGATGTGTTTGTGACACCTGCTCCAAACTTGTTACACGAATATGGGTGAAGAATCTTAACAATGATAACATAAAATGAATCTAGAAAAAAATTCCTAATGTCAAGATTCATTAAAGTAGTTCCACCCTTTAATATTAAGAAGACTGCACTCTAATTTTGAAGTGTGGGGTAGCACTTTTTATCGGAAAGAATGATACAAATGTACATTTGTCTGGTGCATCACTGTGTTGGTTTCTTTTCTGTTAGATGACTGATCTATACATGATTTGAACTGAATGTACTCGCGTCTGTCAAAAAGATTAGTTATTTCATCATGTACGTAATGCATTTTTCGACCATTTGTACTGTCTATCTTTCATAAATGACTGTATTTTTTCTACTTTTTCTTGACAGTCTTAAGCAATCCTGTCAAAAAGCAAGAATATGACAAGTGTGGGATTTTGTACGTCCAAGACCATTGTGTGAATGTGAGATCTGTTCCTTTTCTCATAACGACGGTTCGAATAGTGGATTTATATTGGCTGAATGCTTTTAAAGTGTGATAATGCCTTTTCAAACGCTTTTCGTCCTCTTTTCATACTTTGATGTGTGTATATGTCAGCTGTGAAAGGAGTTGGATGCATTTTTCGTATCAAAGAGGTTATGGAAAAACAAAGAAATGTTTATCAAACAGACTCAACAGGAGTCATAGATTCTGCACCAAGGAAATGTTACAGAATGTTTCCTTGCATTCTGTTTGACTCAACGTGACCCAAAGATAAATCTGGGTTCCTGTTGCTGCACCTGTACCTCTCAGTATAGAATTCGATGCCCTGAATATTGCATTTTTTTTCAAAGCACTATCTTGGACTAGTAACAAAGTGTTATTTCATGGAATGCTGTACAACAGACCTGATAATTCGTTATTATTCTGTCGAGAAGATCATACAATATTTTGGTCAATTTAATAATGCTCAGTTATAGATTTATTTAACCAGAAAGTTACAGCTCTTCAATGTCAGCTGTTTCAGTTCTTGGCATCTTCTTCTTCAATGGCCCAAGTTCTGGAGATTTTAAAGTATTCTTTCCTTTAGAGGAAAATTTCCCTCAGCTTATTAAGTTGCGCTTTCACTAGCCAACTCAAGTTTAAATTCCCTAGCTTTGTCATTGTTTGGAATACTTTTAGGTAACCAGAGACCATTCCTTTTGACCTGGAAGCCGAGAGAGCTATCTACGATCCTTGAAAAACCCACTAAATATTTCGTGACCGAAAAACTCTAACTTTCTATCTTGTGAACAATTCTAGACTGCCCAGCTTTGTTATTCTACTTCCATTAGTGTATTCGTCTGAACCCTTCACAAACCAGACATGGGTCATGCGGCCCTTACCTCCATAACACATACCTGTCTTAGAGGCAACCTTTTCTAATCAGCCAATCATGTGTATCTGCTTAGGAACTGCTGAGAATGGAGTTGGCTTATGCGAACCAGCATCATGTGGCAATCCTAGCATCATGTGGTATGCATATAAACATGTTACCTGTGATATATTTACCGAATTCATGACCCATACGATTCCCCTTTCTTCTCTCACTGAATCTTCCCATCTCTGCTATCAGAAGTGAAGCATCAATTCTAGGTGTTATTGTGATGATATTGTAATTTACAGTAGATGCAGAAAGTTTTCTCTTCTCTCGTGGGGCATCTCTTCACCTGTTGCTGTGGATGATGGGTAGATAACCAGGTTCCATAATTTCTCTTTATTTTCCATAACTTTTCTCTTATACGAGGTTCCAGAAATCGTTCCTCAATCTCGACAATGACCATAAAGATAGAAGATTCTGAATCAATGGCCTTTCAACGAACTATTAAAAACACCTAAACACAGCGACGAAGATATAATCTGGCTGGGTCAGTCAGAGAACCTGAAGAAGATCTGATGAAAGAAAAACGTAGACATAAGGAATTGAGTCACGAACACTCTACCCTTTGGATTACTAATCCAGGAATTTTCTTAGGGTTGATTAAGAGAGCTGACTTGAGAAGAGAACCAAAGAGAAGTAATCCAAGTATATGGAAGAAAAAGTCATTTTATTTATTTATTTGAATAGTAGTTTTTCTCATCTAATCTATCTATAAACCTTATCATCTTCCCATAAGTAACAGACCCCAGAGGGATGGGCACTTTTCCTGTTCAATCTCCTGGGCAAGTGGGAAACCTTTGACACATTTACTTGTTTCTGCATATTTCTGGTCTTCCTTTTCCTGTTGAATCTTTCAGAGCTTTCTGATAGTTTCATAAGGCTGATGTAAGTTGAGAATTTTTAGTATTATCACTGAGAACGGGGAACTGAAGATTGTATATAAAGATCTCTCTTTTCTTTTTCTTCTTTTTTTCCGGCCCATCTTTCATCTAACTCATCAATCGTATTTCAGGATTATCTCAATCGGCATAAGAGCTTGATTCTAACATGCAATGGCCTTGGCATTAGATACTCATTATGGTAAGAAACGTTTTCTATTAATATGTGGTGTTTCTCTCGGATTCCCATAATTCATCCACCATCAGAGCAGTGCCAGGTGCTTCTCATGGTTTTTAAGAGGTTTCACTTGAAATCAGTCACATCCCATTCCTTCTGGGTAGTCTAAAACATGTACTCTTGTGTACAGTAACTGAAGCATGTACTCTTGTGGTTTGCTGAACCTCATGGTGTCATTATAATCCGCAGAGAAGATATCTTTCTGTCGTCTCAAAATTAGTTCTTTCATCAGATATGTTGCATGTGTTTATTTTATTCTCACATTCTTATCCACAACACACTTTCCCATGAATAAATAAAAAGAATAATAACTGTGTAAATTAAGTATAAATAAATGAAAGTTTTTATCCATGGCATTAGAAGGTTGCCCATAATGACAACCCCCATATTCTCATTTCCTATGTGAAAGGTGCTTCTCTTGTTTGATATGATGTGTGTGCTCATTAGTTTTCACATGGGTGTAATGTTGCTCACATGGGTGTTGGGATTTGTTACACATGAGTGGATGTGCATGTGAGTGTGTGTGCATGAAAAATGGTTGCTAGAACCCTAAATGGTGTCAAGCGGTGCATTTCTTGTTTGCTCTCCATCCAGCCATTTCATAAAATCTCATCCCTTATTAAAAACAGTCACTCGAGAGTTATTCACATAATAGTTCATCTGAAAGGATATAGGATGCCCTTTTTTAAGGGGAATAAAATAGAGTGGAGGTATTTAGTAAATCAATGTGTTCCTTGACATGTTGACCATTTTCCTTCATAATTGATCTAAAAAGGGTACCATTTAACCTTTGTTATAAGGTTTTATTGGATAAACTTGTAAAAAAAAAGTTAATGAATGATTTTTATTATTATTTTCCGTCTAAATATTTGACAGTTATGGTACAAGCGTGCTTATTTTGAGGACTAATTGTGCAATTTTTTGAGAAATTATTATAATGATTATGGATAGAAGAGGTGGATTTTTCAGATTTTTACCTTTAAATAATGAATAGAAAGTGAATTATGTGAACATGGTCGAATCCAGAAGCAGTAGGATTATATTTCAGATAATAATAGTGTTAAAGGAATTTAGGATGAACAGCTGAGGACAAAGTAATAGACCTGCCAGATTTGGAAGAGAGGTCAGGTAGGCCGGATGAAGACAATTTTTTCGAGTTGCCCTGGGAGGTTAATTATTTGCTGTTTTGTTTTAATTATTAACAATTATTAGCAGACATTTATAAATTACTGGATGGGAGATTTTATATGACAAATCGAAGTAGACAGCATCACATAATTAAGGATTTTATTAAATCATTGAGAAAAATCCAGTTTTAGTAAGATTTTCGCTGGGCTTTTAGAACCATTTTATGTAAACCTGCACCAGAAAACTTCTCTCTCAATCATTTTTTACTTAATTTCAAAAGAGAATAATGCAACGAAAAATACCGTTTAAACCAAATGAATTGAGAATATCAATAATTAATTATCCAATCGAAAAGGTAGCATACGACTCCATTTCCTTTGATAACTTGTTGGTCTAAGATTCTGATTATTTCAAGGTTTTTTTTTTCTCATCACCCTGTTCTCTAAGGACTCTCGCCTTCAGCAGCAGCTCCCCCATCCCTCTCCTCCCACCCACCCACATGGCAGACAACTTGCTAGGCCAGGGCCTCACCCAGCACCAAGCCCACATCAGAGACCGACCTAGGCTTTTAGAGGCCCAGTGGAAACCCTAATAAGAAAACCTTCCAAATCAGGAATACCCAGAACACAAGTGGAGAAGAAGATCACCACCACGAGAAGCATCAATTTCCACAGATAACATATACGCAGTAGATCAGGTTTAGGGTTCCACCCACAACACAAAACCAAACTGTCAGTGAGAGGGGGTGCAGCTTGGAACAACAGGCCTCTGCCACCAGCCTTATTCTGCTCAGACGGCCAGTCTGAACATGAGTTGATCACTGCACATTGAGGACTTCGATCTCAAAAATCAAAGGGGAGTTGGGCATTATTCCCCAGGCAGGGAACCCACTCGGACCGTAAGCATAATCAGGGGTACACTGCAGATCCCCACATGCAGTGTACAAGTCAGTGATCCACATGAATGAGAAGAAGCCCATATAAATATAAATGTGAATTAATCACACAGAAAAATTAATCTGAACTCCTTAAAGAAACCCTAGAGAAGAACTCCTTGAAGGTATCTCTACCCACCTTGAGAGTGACTTGTTTTCTTCTTTCTTTTTTTGTCTTTAATGGAATGTAGGGATGAGGATTTTTACTAATCTAATCAATGCAAAAGAAAGATCAGTAATCCAGAAGTCAGTGATCCAGATGAATAAGAAGCCCATGTAAATATGAAAACAATCTGATTTTCCCACCTTTACAAATCCTAGACAGCACTGAGGATATTTTGTTTAATCCAGAATCTTGCAAGGAATCAACCTTAAACCCAATATCTGATGTAAAAGACCCTTATTAATGGTGACTTGATGTGTATACAAAGATGTTTGAATTGCAGGGTTTTAGTTTATGGATCCATATGATTCGCAGGACCTTGTCAATGCCCTTGAAAAGATGTGAGATTAAGTAAAAGATGTGACACTGGTACGATTGAGAGAAATTCATATGGATTCTAATCATTTCGACGGCAAATCGGAAATACTTATAGATCGAAGAAGAATTCCACAGGAACTTGACAATATGAATCATGAAGTGAAAAATTAACACCACTTTACGAGGAGAACGCTACCTGAAGGCGCGCAACTTCTCCCACCTGCATGCCAATCACACCTTCATCCCATCCTGAAGATGCCATAGTGTCTTTCAATTTTCTTTCCAAGTAAGAAAGATTCCAGTAACATTACGAAGATGAACAAGACGGACTGTATCATATCGCAATGAAGCTGGGTACCTTTAATAACAGATCCTAGTCCAATCTTGAAGGAAAATGGCTGCTGCCCAGGATCTTTAGTGCTGTAAATTCAGAAAGAAGAAAAGTATGGAGGACTGATTATATATTTTATAGGCAAAAACACCAGAGAGAAGCTATAACACACAACTCAGAGCAGAAACTGAAACTACCTCCAAAACTTTTGAGAAAGGTCGCCATTTTTTCCTAAAGAGAGGAAAATAATTAGTAAAAAAATTACTTTAGCTAGCAAAACGGCAAGAAGCAGAAATTTTTTGTTAATAATGTGGTAGGCCACGAGGCAACGTCTTCGACTTGAAGACTTTGAGTAGCTGAGGAAGCAGAAGGGTATTTCCCATCTTACTCCAAAAGGTTAAACCCCCTACAGCTTAATGCAAGTAAAAAGAATCAGAAATGAAATCATTGTGCCATAAAGACTAGCAAGGCCACCATCTATGTACGGAAAAAAAGTTGACAATATAGTGGCAGGACGCATAATAATCTCTTGATTCAAGAAGTAAGCTTGAAAACTTCCATTCACATGATGCTTTTTATTGTATCTTATCTCATCTTATCTTATCTTTTCCGCCATGTCTATACTTCTTTTATTCCTTTTTTATAGATCTTAATCGGCAGCATAAATGAACCAAATGATCGAAACCTTGACCCCAACAAGAAAATAATTCCCATTTTTAAATTACTGGTCCTGGTTGTCAGCTAGAGAAATTGGATCATCACATGCGAGATAAATATAAAAACATTTCGACTGTAACACGCAAAGAAAAAATAAATTAGACGAACATTGAGATAGCGCTAAAACAATGATCCTTCATATTTCTACAACAGCACATGAGATCAACGGTTAGGGTCTCCACCGCAGAAAGGACTCGAGTCCATTCAAACCCGATTACGGCTCTCCAAGGAGGAGGGCATGGAAATGTTGTCAGTAGGTTGATTCTGGACGAACTCAGCCGGAGCAAACTGCCGGTTTCCTAAGGTTTCAGCTTTTCATGAAGAAACCTATGAAAAATAAGGAACTCCTCTTTCACTTAAATGTTGCTTGCACCTCCCCCTCTTTAAGGAACGTCGATTTCAATACAAAGAAAGAACTCAAACTCCCCTCGAGGCGGATCAAAGGGGGGCAACGATCCCCCTTTTTTGAAGATCCAGCTTCTGAAAGAAAAAAAATGGAGCAGTGGAATCAGAAGTAGTCTTCAGCTGAAGATGCTCACCGAAACCAGTGCAGTGGACGGTGACATTCTGGCCCTTGACCGGCTTGGGCCCCGTCCCCAACCTGAGGATCTGCTTCTCCACTCCCATGGCCACCGCCGCCGCCGCCGCCGTCGTGACTACCTTCTCTTTCCCTGGGCACCGCCTCCCGAGCCCTAAAAAACCGTGAAAATCTTCCACACCACCTCGACGACCTCCACGGATTTTTCCTATCCGTGAGGGCGACTGATTCGACCTCTATCCATATCTTCGACGCAGAGGCCGGCCGGGCCAGGGCCCGAGAAGCCCGACTCTGCAGGAAAGCCCGAAACTCTCTCTCTTAGGCATAAAAATGGAATTTTTTAAAAACAGATTTTTAAACATAATTGTAAATTGAAGAATATCCGATTTAAAATAGAATTATTTCCACTCGTATAATATCCTCCGAAAAATAAAATCCACCCAAGATTTTTATCGGCAAAAAGGTCCAAACTTCTAGTGGGCTTTAGTGGGCTCTTTAGTCTGCCGTACTTTTTTGGGCTGAACAGACTTTAATGGGCTGCTGCTAGTGAGCCCAATAGGGTAATTTTTGTGGGGCCCAGACTTGAGCCCGGAGGTCAACGGTTTTGACTAGTTGTGGCCATCTTTTCAATGACGATAGAGCTCTGAGTGGGTACGGTCAGACTGGGTCACCAAGGAAAAAAGTCACGAGTTTGACTATTTCCCATAATCATGATACTGTGACTTTTTCCAGGCTCGCGAGTCAACCCCGCCCTAAAAAGCATCATTCGCGTACATGGGGTTGGGGGGGGGGATGACTATATTTCCGCGTGGCAAGCTGTGGGTGGCCACGTGGCATATCGATATCAACCAAGGTGGGTAGATGTTACCGGCAGAGTAGATAATAAATAACACCAGTTTATTCTTATATATAGAGAGAGAGAGAGAGAAAGAGAGAGAGAGAGAGGCAGACGGTAGTTGTAGTGGTATTAGTAGTAGTAATAGTGGTAACGATGAATGGATGGGTGGTCTTCTTCTTATTGATGGGGTGTTCAGCTCCACCACCATTGGTGGACGGCGACGCCGGCGTCGCGGAGCTTGCCGTAGAGAGAGAGGTACTCCCAGTAGGGCCGCCGGAGACGGCCGGTGTTTCCCCAACCGTCGTCGCACTCGAGGAAGAGCTCGTCGACCAGGCTGGTGGCACCGCTCCTGATCATCGCCTCCACGGCGCCGGCCTCGGCCTTCATGACGACGTACTCCTCCTCTCTGAGGTTGCTCCTCAGCCACTCCGAGAGCTCCTCGCTCGCCGACGGCGTTTCTTCCTCAAGCTCCAGCCGGAGGATCTCGAAGGGGAGTTTCCTGGTGGGGTAGTGATGGGAGAACCACCTGGCTGCGCTGCGGTCGCCGCCGCTGCCGCCGGTGGTGCTCGATTTGGTGACGACCTCGATGAAGATCCGCCTTGGGTAGCTGTGGAGGTCGTCGCCGGTGAGGTCTGGGAGGAATCTCAGCCTCTTGAGGTACGATTCCAAAGATTTTCTCCCGGAGAGGGAATGCTGGGGAGGCTCGAGCAGGACGTCTTCCAGCATGTTCAGGGCTTCCTTCCTCGCCTCCGGCAACGCAAGGAGCCGCCGCCGCCTGGGAACCGCCGTTGGCTGGCTCTTATCGACCAGTTTCTTCATGGCAACCAACGTGGAATCGAACGTCCTGATGTAGACGATCCTGTAATTGGAGGCCATTCGGTAGGGCACGGCCTGTTTCGAGCCCAGGCGGACGACGGCGACTCCCCCAACCTTCAGCGCGCGGTCGACGAGTTCTGCGTCGGGGAAGCCGTTTCCGGAGAAGACGAAGTCCAGCGTGCCGTCGGGGATTATTCCCTGGCATCCGCGGGCGGCGCCGCCGCCCAAGCAACCAGTGACGAGCTCCATCCTGTTCTGCCGTACCATGCGTGTGAGCCTAGATCCGGCGTGGTGGCTGAGAAACATGGCCCGATCCCCGGGGTGGAAAAGGCCCCGGCGTTTCAGATCGCGGAAGAGCGTTGGAAGGAAGAAGGCGTCGTCGACTTGTCGCGATAAAACCCCGTTGGTGGCGACGGCCATGGCTGTAGCAGTGGAGTAGACCGATCGCGGGCTTATGTTGAGCATGAGGAAGGAGACGAAGATAAGAGCCAGCAGCGACCGGGCGACGAGCCTGAGAACGTAGCAATCAGGGAGCCTGATCTCTAAACGGTCTGCATCCAGTCTCCTGGCCGTGGCGGCCCTCAGAGACGCCTTCCGTCCCCGTCCCGCGGCCTGACCTTCCACCATGTCCCCTTGCTTCTGTTCAATCCTGGTCATCCTGCTACCACAGATCGCCCTCCTCCAGGGGATTCTTCTCCAGTCTCCTCTCAGGAACCAACGCCGGGTCGCCTCGGTGATCGATCGCCGAACAGCAACAACAACGGAGACGGCGAGAGGGATCGACAGAAACCGGATCCGATCCGAATCGAGAAGAGAAACAGCGAGCGGCGACACGGGAAGGAGAATTAGCGGCTGCAGAACCTGGCGGCGGTGTGATTAGCACCCACGAGGGCCACTCTGGTGCTTAGAGACCTCAGCCAGAGGAGCATCAGCATCCTCATCCTCTGCGCCTCCATGGCGGCGGCCGCCGCCGATGTAGATCCCCTCCTCTCAATCCGACGAATTCCCGCCGTCAGCCCCTACTTCTCCGCCGGACGGCAACCGGAGGACGTCGATCCTCGCCTCGCCGCCGGAGCAGGAAGCGGACGGCGGTGGCGGCCGGGGTGGGAGCTCCTCCCCCTCCCTCCTTCCTCTGTACACGACAAAAGAGGGATGAGCGAGGATTGTTGGTATTTATAGGGCAGGCCGGTTCTGCCCGGCGGGCGGTTCTCAACCTCTCGGACACCAGCCGTCCATTTCCCCACCTTCGTCGGAGGAGGCCTTTCGTTCTGGGTTTTTCTGCAAATGTGCCACCCAAGATAATGCGAATTTAGATTTAATTGAGAAATAAATGTTCCAGCCGTCTGATCTGAGCGACGGATCAAGATCTAATTTTGAGGAATCCTGATGTCCTGCTAAATAGGCTAAGAGAGTTAGGGAAGAGAAAGATGAGCTAGCAGAGGAAGGAGGAACCATATTAAGTAAATTCTTATTTTTTGGTATTTTCTCGATTAAATTATTGATGTCTATACCTGAAATATATATTTATTCATTTATTTATTTTTATATTATGTAAAATCCCATGAATGGTCTAATGTAGATGATCTCACCCCAAGGTAGATAAAACTTTCTTGACCAATCTTAGAACCTCGTGTAATCTGGGTACGGAAAGTCTTATTTTGGTGGATATTGATAATATTTTAAGGGGGAAATATATTTTAATTTTGAAGACAAGTTTAGAAAGCACACTCGAGATCGGGCCCACATGCAGGTCAACAGCCCAACTTGGTCCCAACAATAGGGATGGTGGTTGTTGATGAAAGCACCGATCATGTGCATGTGGGGTCCATTAGAACAAGGATGAAGGGTTATGGCTGTCTTTATCTTATGGAGTCATTGATGAAATTTACATTTCATTCAATTTTAGTCATAAAAGCCATAAATTGTTGAAAAGTTAACACATGCATAAAAGGAGTAAGAAAGAGGGAGATAGAAGCGGGGACGAGAGAAGAAGAAAAGGTTTGACCAAGAGAGAATGGAGAGCTATTTGGAAGCATATGATGGTGAGATGCATAGGGTTCTTAAGATTTAGTCCTCTCCTAATGTTAGTTGTGAAGAGGGCTTAAGTCACATAAAATTGAATCATTTTAATAATGTAGGTGATGAACTTGATTTAGAGGTAGGAGTTTGAGCAGCTAAGGATGGACCAATAGGGGTACGTGTGCATCATTCTCCTTCCACGTTACCAGGCTGAGACAAAGTCGTACACACGCGAGAAAAGGACTCATTGACTTTCAAATCTCATATTACTATATATTCATCTCAAAATTTGGCGTATAATCGATGTGGGACGAAACCTCGGTCACACCTTCTCCATAACATTTATTGATTTTTTTTGTACCTTAAATATCTCTTATTTATTATAAGGAGGTACCATGATGATGTCACTTTATAAGAGTATTCATATACTTATTTCACTCTCTCTCATGCATGTGGGCAACTAACAAGGGTTTAAATTTTACTAGAGCTAAAATTCATACTTTTACTTAATTAAATTGTGATTCTCTTATAGATTACTGGTAAAGAAATTTTGTCAATGTGATTCATAGAACACTATTACTAAAATTGTTAAACGATTATGGATAAAATGATCGCGATTCATCTAGTAAATTATCTCTAATTAATCAATGAATAAGCTATCATCAGGAAGAGAAGAATCTATCGAGAGACAAGTTCTCACCTCTTGAAAGCGTACTAGATGTGATGAAGAGCCTTCTCTTATTGTATGGACCTAAAGATGAAGCTCCCTAAGATGTGGCCTATCTTTATATAACTCATCTTTTCATCTCTATCACGTGATAGTTGCTAGAGAGCCATATAGAGATTCGATGACCTATCAAGTGATAGCCGCCGGAGATGATTCGATGACTCACTTTTGTTAATTTATAGACTTTATAAGAAGATCTAGAGATTGCCTACATTATTTGTGTCAAGTAGAGCCTTTAAGGCTGTGAATATTATATGATATTTTTCCTAAACATACAGAATTTCGACAATCAATGTCGTAAAATCGAAACTCTGCCTTTTCTATTTTTAACTTAAGTTTCACTTAATTTAGTAATACTTTGTGTGATTTCAAGTTACTAAAATATTCTTTATTAAATTATAATTATCTTGGCTTTTATTGATCTTAATTTGACCCATTAAATTGTCTATAATTGCTTATGTAAAAATCATCAGGTGGAATTCTATTTTCACCCGAATCACGTTCCTTAGGGTGCTAACATCATCTTGACATTCATACCCTTTTTTTCCTTTTTTGTGAATATTAAATATATGTTATTTTTATTTCTTAGTCTAAAATTCATAAAAAAATATATTCTTTATAGAAAATTCTGAAATATTATTTGATATTATATTACATCTCTATGATTGACTTAAAAATTGATAGTATTTTTAAATTTTTTATTGAATTATAATTGATATATTTGTTGACTTCTAAATATTCAATAATTAGTATTTTATAGTTTTATAAATTTAAAATTTTCATATTTATTGTATAATGACTAAGTCACATCAATGGATGACCTAGATCTTATCTCTTGATAGCTCTTTTGAGTCTAAATAAACTAGGTCAAGGTGATACCCTCTCTTGGGCCCATAAACATATTAGGTTGGCCTTCTCCAAAGATGTGAGCTTTTCCTTGAGCTAAAAACTTAGATTTCTTCTATTACTTCTAACTCATAATAAAAGCTTACCTAAGTCTTTACAATCAAATAATTATCAAGAAAATATGAAAGAATCACAATTTGACTGCACAAAAGTTGTGGGGTTAATCTCATAATATAAATAAAATAATATATATTAAGATTTAAATAATAAAATATTATGAATATTATAATGAGTCAGTAACATATACATAATTATATTCTCTACCTATTAATTAACATTTATACATAAGATACTAATACATAGATACAACTACTAATTTATAATTATCAGTAGGTGAATTGGGGGACTAAAATTGTAGATAGGTTGTTCTTGGAGGACTCCCATGTATTATCAATGTTTATGCGAAGGCATTAACAATTCAAGGGCTTTCTAGATACTAAAAACTAAAAAAATCTTATTATAAATATTTTATGACTCAATCTATTTGGAAAGAGATTATGTTCAAGAATTACATAATTTAATATTAATTCTCATCAAGATCAACAGTCCTACATGACAAAATTAGAGCCATCTTTGAAGGCATGATGATCCAAGTTTAATTATCTAAAAAAATTATATAGTCCATATTGACATGAGAGAGGAAAACTCTGATATCTATGCAGTCTCGAAAGATAGAATATATGACTCTGATATAAGAGAGAGGAGAGATGAGAGAGAGAGAGAGAGAGATAATGGGCCTTAATAGGCCAAGAGTCTGATACCACTATCGAACACTCCCTCTCAAGTTGGAGCATATAAGGTCAACATATTCAACTTAGTACACATGATGTTGTAGGATATGCCGGCTAAACTCTTCGTGAAGACGTCTACAAACTAATGAGATGATGTCACATGAAGAGTAGAGATAAGTCTAGACATAATCTTATCTTGAATGTAGTGATAGTCGATCTTAATGTACTTTGTATGCTCATGAAAGGTGGGATTACTAGTAATGAAAATGACGATTTGATTGTCGTAATGTATGAGCATTAGAGAGGGAGAAGTAATGCTGAGATTGTCAATAAGTGATCAAAGTCGTATCATTTCTCACACTATCTCAGCCATGACTCGATACTCGAATTTCGCATTGGAGCAAGACACCACCCTCTATTTCTGGGACTGTCAGGTGACTAGATTATTGCCGACATATGTGTAATAACTCGTAGTAGGCTTTCAGTCGTCCTTGTCACCTGCATACCTGACGTCAGAGTAGGCTACAATACGAAGATGGCCGTGTTGTCGATAGATGAGCCCTTTCCCTGGGGATCACTTGATGTAGGTGAGGACTCGTAGAACTCCTTCTCAATGAACTCATCGAGGTTCTTACATGAACTGGCTCAAGACACTAACTATGTACACAATGTCAGAACAAGCGACGGTGAAATATATCAACTTGCCCAACAATTGCCGATATCAATTAGCATCCTCGAGTAGGGGAGATGAAGTGTCCCAGAACTATGGGTGAGCTTCTATTGACGAAGTCTTTGACTTGCACCCACGAAGGCTAATAATAGTTCATTTATAATCTATAATTTAGAGTTTATATATATAGTTTGATTATTTTTAGCAAGCATCATGTCTTGAATTCAATATAATACACTATTATTATTAATTGATTAACTTCCATGTAAGAGGCATGATTTATACTTGAAATGTGATTTACAAACTTAGCCCATTATAAATTTGAAAATGTGTTTATACATATAAATGTGTTTTTGTATGAACTATTGGTTACAAACTAGTTTTAAATCTGTATAAAGTAGTGAAAAAAATTGAATATCATTTGAAATTTAATTAGATGATATTTCAAAATTTTTGAAGGATGAAAGAGGAGGATCTTATTCGTTATGGACTTATGTCTAATTTGTATTATTGAGAGGGACGTTTGATATTTCAAAAGGTGTCACTTTATCTCACATGAGATTAAGTGATGAAAAGCCTTTTAAAATATCTCATGTGGGTCCCATATGAGCACCTTTCTAAGTAATGAAAATCAATTGCAGGAAATGACAATGGAGAATGTGGCGTACCAAGTCAAAATGGCTGAAGGAAGAAAGGATGGCTAACCTAATTTTTAGGAATCGTAACTCATCTCAATCGTTTGTGAGGCTTTGCAAGAGTAGACCGACGGAGGGGAGAAGGGAAATTGTCAGCACAACCACCTCATATATACTCCTTTATGGTGTAAAATTAGGGCAATTCATTTACGAGGAAGGGGATGCCAGCAAACAAGAGTAAAACTCTTTTAGATCTTTTCTTGAGTGGAATATTCTTGTTAGAGTCTCTTTTTGAAGGTTGTCGAGCCTCTGAAGAAAGTTTGTTGTCCCCCTTCCTCTTCGCTCCAAAGACATATTTGGAGTCCGTTTTCTACCTTTTTCACCCTATGAAATATAGTATAGTGGAATTCTCATTTACTTTTTCATCCTCCAATGAAGTACGATTGAGGAACAATCATCCGTGGATTCTGGCACATCTTGGTGAGCACCATCGTGTGATGTATAGCCTGCTCAAGCTTGCAGTAGGTGATGGCTACCACAACACAGAAGAGAGTGACCCTCTTAAGGGTCAGTCACTCTCATTTTACTCGTGGGTATAGGTGCAGCATCCTCAGGAATAAGTTAAGGTTCATTTCGTGAGTTACTCCTATTCTCATCCAATCATCGCGTCTAAACATTCATTCTTCTTAGTTATGTTTGTTACAATCATACATTCAAATTTCTAACAATCATCGTGATTGACCCAGATATTACCAATATTATATCTAGTAAATTTTATGACAATTTCCAGTTTTTAAATTTTAAATTTGATCTACCTAAGCTTTAATTACTATGATAGTTTATCTCCTAAAGCATGTCGAGGGCATACTTTCGCTAAGTAAGGGCGACCTTCCTGTCTTGATACATAAACTCAATCCTAAGGAAATACCGTAGAGTCCCCAAGTCATGAATGCTGAAGTGCTACGATAAGTAAGTTTTGATAACAGAAATGTCAGCCTCATTACTTCTAGTCACCAGAATATCATTGACATAGACTATAAAGATGATAAGGCTATCTTTTGTCTTCTTCGTGAGCACGGTGAGATCCGTAGTGCAAGAGGTGAAGTCAAACGTGGTGAGTAAACTACTAAATTTAGTAAACCAAGTATGTGGACTCTACTTAAGCCCATAAATGACACGTCGCAAGAGACATACCTTCGATGACTCTCCATGAGCAACATATCTAGGAGGTTGCTCCATAAAGACTTACTCCGTGAGAGCACCGTAGAGAAAGGCTTTAGAAACATTTAATTGGTGGAAAAATCATGCATGATTGGCGTTGAGAGAGAGGAGCACGTAGACGGAGTTGAGGCGGATGACAGGAGAGAACGTCTTAGTGTAGTCGATCCCATATGCCTGCGTGAAGCCTCGAGTAACCAAACGAGCTTTGTGATGAGAGATTGAGCCATCTAGGTGATACTTGATGGTAAACACCCACTTACACATCACAATGTTGGCATTGGTCAAGCACGAAACCAAATCCCAAGTCTCTCGAGCAACCAATGCAGCTACCTCTAAATCTATGGCCGCCTTCCAAGTAAGTACTTGTATGGCCTCAACATACGACCATGGAAGCGACCTCGGAGGCCACTAAGAGGGCAAAGGCATGAAAAGAAGAAGAAATGCGATCATAAGAGACAAACTGGGAGATGGGATGGTGGGTGCAAGCACGTGTACCTTTACAGAAGGCAATTGGGAGATGAAGGTCATCAGGTGAAGTAGTGACCAAAGGTGTGGAGGGGATCATAAGAGAAGAAGATGAGGATATGACATTTGGAGTAGGAGTCGTGGGAGACATGGGCCAAAGAGAGGTAGGCGCGAGTAATGACTCTAAAGAGAGTTGACAAGAGGGAAGAGAAGAGAGAGGGTTTGCAAGAACCATCAAGGGAGATAACCTAGGTGGAGGAGACATAATGGTCTGAAGAGGAGGAGTCAAAATAGGAGAGAAGAAAAGAAACTCTTTATGAAAAGTGACATCAGCCGAGGTTACATGGCAACAAGTATTAGAGAAGTATAACCAATAGCCCTATTGTGAGTGAGAGTAGCTGACAAAGACCCCTTTAAGAGTACGAGGGGTGAGTTTAGAAAGAGAAGGAAATGAATCCTAAATGAAGGCGGTGCATCTAAAGACTCAAAGGGGAAGAGAAAAAAGAGGAGAATCAGGGATTAAACGATAGAGAGGAATGCCCCCCCCAAGAGGAGTAGAGGGAAGTTGATTCTATAGGTAAGTGACAATCAGAAGGGCATCAACCTAGAGATAGTGAGAGACATTCATCTCAAGAAGAAGTATGCGAGTGATGTCAAGGAGTTAGCAATTTTTGCGCTTGGCAACACCATTCTACTGTAAAGTGTGAGGATAGGTAGTTTGATGAAGAATGTCATGATCATCGCAAAAGATGTTAAAAAATATTTGGACAAACTCAAGAATGTTATCAGTACAAAGAATCTTGGGCGTAGTTATGTATTGGGTGATAACTTCGGTGATGAATTGGGTAACCATGGTGACGACCTCAGAACAGTCGTAGAGGAGGTAGACCTAACTCATACAAGTGTAGTCATCAATAAAATGATGTAATAGCAATGGCTCGAGATGGAGGAAGTATGATGATGTTTGCCCAATTGACAAGACTCGCACATAAACTGAGAAAGAAAGCCACAATAAGGTTTTTTGTAATTTAGAGAAACAAGGATGACCTAAATGGCAATACCACAAAAGAAAAGTAATTGTAGAAGCAACAAAAAGGGTCTGAAAGCTAGATGAGGGTTTGTTAGAAACAAGTTCGTAGACACCCCGCTCGTTTTCACAGCCCAAACTAATCCTCTGTTTGGTATGTAGATCTTGAAAAGTATAGTGAAAGGAAAAGAATGTGATTATATAAAGGAGGGCACGAATAATAATACTGATGGAAAGAAAATTAGTAGGAAAACCAAGAACATAGAAAACTTAGGTAAGGTGAAGGGAAGGAGAAGCCAAGCTGACACCATGACCTTTGACCAGATAGGTCCGACCATCGGCAATGGTGATAGGAGAATGGGTCGGGGTAGATTGATAGGAGGAGAGAATAGTGGAGATACTAGTCATGTGGGTGGAGGCCCTTAAATCAATAATCTACAGTGTTAAAGAGGAAGCAAGGAGAGCATGTATACTTGGCGTGGAGGAGGCCAGAAGTAAGGGAAAACTAGTAGAGGTGAAAGTGTCAGTACTATTAACGTGATGAAGGGCGTCATACTCTGTAGGTGTCAAAGTCATGTGGAAGATAGGAGTTGGAACATGAGATGGAGCAGGAGATGCTAGAGTTGGAGAAGTGATCATCGACTATGTGGAAGCGGGCTTACCAAATTACTTCCAACACTTAATAGTCAAATGATTATGCTTCCCACAATAAGGGCATGGAGGAAAGGTGTTGCACCCACATCCATGAAGAGTATGACCACTGTCAAGGTGAGAAGGAGGGGTATCATCTTGAGCCCACAGGGCAACAATGACAAGAACCGAATGAGTAGAGGTGGCACCTAGAGAGGAAGAAGAGGAGTGGACGGGCATACCAGTGGTGACCCGAAGGGCTGCCGAGAAGATGGAGGCGAGATCAAGCACGCGATCCCCAAAGAGAACAATCCCCCAAATCTGGGATGTGATGGATGAATGAAGTAGGGGGCTATGAGATCTAAGGAAGTGCTCAAAGCTAGATGTTAATGACATATAATTATGGTGGTTGAAGATGTATGTCGGTCGAGTAAGTTGCACCATGATGGAGTGGCGAGTTGGAGGAACCACTGGAGAAGGGAGAACACCAACTAAAAGAAGCTCAGAGGGCTCAGAGGCAGGCAATGGAGGGGGGTGAGATGACACCATGAGGCCGACAGGTCCAAGTCAGAGGGATAGGTGGTGGGGTGAGCAGGTCGGAGCCTGACAGGCTGGTTTGGAGGAGCAGGCAAAGCTGGCTGGGGCCAACTAGGGTTGGCTGGGGTAGATTGGGGCCGATTGGGCTGCGTTGAGCTGGCTGGGCCGAATGGGCCTGTGGATCCACGTGAACAATAAAGTATCTAACTAAAAAAGGTGATGATGATAGTTTTTACCATTTATGAGGCATTGAGGAAGTATTTATCTCTCCTCTTCATAGGTGGGGTATGTATGGATTATATGGGAGGCCACTTTTGAGCCTTGATGTAGTCTTTGAGTGGATCTCTTGACACACATAATGCTAGTTGAGTACAACGAGGAGAGTTGTATAATAGGAAAGAGTACATGGAAATTTTATATGGAAATTTTTGGAATTCTAAGACAAGATTCAACTTTGTTTACTTCACATAATTTTCTTTTCAAGTTTCATTTCACAAAGTAATGTTATAGAGATCTTGTTAGGGTATATTTGGTGTTTCTACTTACATAGCCGATAAGCACCCTCACTTCTAATGAAAATATCATATTTTCATCACTTAAAATTATATAAGTCTCACCTATTTTTTACCTTTTTTTTGTTAAGGTGTGATGAGAAAATATAATTGTTCAATTTCTTTTTTAGATGCCTACATGAAAAGTTAAGATAAGAATGTTGAAATTTGAAATATTGTGTGAACATTAAATATATTGTTTAATAGCTACAATAATTGAAAAAGATCTAAGTCATCTAAAATATTCATTGGAAACTTTATAGGCTTCGTTTTTAAGAGAAATGATATTTTAAATACTGAAATTACTTTTATGTTAAAATTGAGATTATTCAATTTTAAAATTTCCAAAAATTAAGATTTATTTTTTTGGCATATATGAACCAAGTGGAAAATTTTAGTGACTTTTGAGAAACCAAAAATATGATTTATTTTAGAATAAGTATTCAACAACACCTACTAATAAATAGACTATTAGAAAATAAATGAATTATGTCATTTTGTAATTGAAACAACCTTAATGACTAGGCTATATTCATAGTTTATTTATTTATTTTATAAAGGTGACTACCTTGTTTCCGTTCAAAACTTTGATCTTGATATCCATTGTCATTACTATTGATATGTTGCATAGGTTTACATAAACTACCTTAGTCCCTTCTGAGTCTCTTTATAGGTATTTTGCAATCTAAATACACCAGTTATAAAAATAAAATAACCACCCTCCCATATCCTAATGACTTTGATACTCTAAAGTTAGATGGAAGCTTATTTTTGTCATTTTCATTATTTGAAAAGAGTTAAAAAGTATGTTTAGAAAATATTTGGGCACATCTCACCAATTGCAATGTAAATTTAATTGAGGGACATAACTAAGGGTAAAGTATTCTCTAGAGGTGCATAAAAAATACTGATAAATGTTAGGCCTTTTGGTAGCCTAAAACTTAAAAGTACTATTTTACCATACATATATCTCAAATGTGTTGGGAAACATCAACACATATTTTATGATATTGGATTTAATTTCAAGACCCAAATATCGAAACATGGCAAGGAAGGCTCAACGCTACAGTTGCTTTGTTTTACTAACTATTAACTCTTGTTGTAAAGGATTTTGATGTTGAAAAATAGAACTATAAAGAAAATCTGATGATGAATATGGTTTCGTTGCTCTAATGGTTAGGTGAAGATCTAAATTCAGAGATATAGTCTATTTTCTATTTGGTTTTTTTTAGGTGTAAATATATAAAAAGAATAAGCTATGAAGATGTTAAAATGAAAAAAGTTGACTTACGAGAAAAATAACATTTTTTAGAAAGAAAACTACTAAAAAAGATCAAGTGAGTCTACTGTGAGTTGATCCAACAACCATATGGATCGACCCAACAATAAAATGGGTCAACCCAACAATTGGTGATCCAAAATGGGTTAACTCAAGAGAGAGTAAAAGTAAAATTTCTCTATGAAATATGAAATGACACAAAATTTGACGTTATTGACAGGTGTTGGAGGATCTTTGTTCATCTATATGACATATGGCATATCTAATGATCAAATATTTAGATAATCTCTATTGACAAGTATGCATAATGATTTGGTCAAAATCTAGTTCTATAAATCAACTCATGCATTAACTTAGGAAATCATCGGTTAATCAGATCTTACTCATTTGAATTCCAATGGTTGAGTTGATAAGATCTATAAATTTCTTATCACATGAACTTTCATTTGACCACCAATTATGCATCAAATTAACCTGTGCAGTATAAATCATCGTTCACCTTTTAGAGCAAGTACAACAATGTTTAAACTTCTTCAAGTATGTTGAAACTTCATGGGATTAGTGACTCCCTTACATAATAGACTTCACATGTCTATCACTATAAGCTAAACACCAAGGTACCTAGTTGTCTTTCTACCTCTTGTTACAAGTACTCTATCAAATCATCTTCACATAAGAAATGAAGTTATACATTAGATTTTCTAACATGCTAGTTTTCATAGAGAAATATCAATATTTTCTCTCTTGACATTTACTTTGATTTGGTTGGCTCAACCCATGGGTTATATATTTGCTTCACATAAGAAATGAGGTTATATGAATTTGAAATGATATTCCGATATTGATATGTTAGGATACATTTCCCTAATCAAGATACATTAACCATGGGTTGATACAATTTTTGGCTTCATATCAAAATGGTTCAATATGCACTTTTGTGAATATATACATTTCTCTTTCCTTGGGTGGGTCAACCCATGGCTTGAAAACTCTCTCTCCACTTGGCTTACTTCTAACATATTCTCTTTTGCTTTGATTTTACTTAGATTGGAGTGCATAAGTTTTCTTCAAATGAGGTCTAAAAAACATACTTTTACAATCTAAAGATTTAGATCTTGTTTTTTTGGTTAGTATATTCAATTGTATTTCTTAGTAGTTTTTCATTTTATCTATATAGGATTAATTGTTGCCATCAAAATCATAAACCAAATGATACTTATGTTGCACTAGCTCAAGTTAAAATAAACGTTGAATACCATGGTGTCAACTAGCCTTTGCTAGATTTCTTGGCTCTAGCTAACCCATTTAGATTAGCACTTAGTTAATGTCGTCTAGATTCATGGCTCTAGAGGCCAACAAAATTAACATTTAACTAATCTCTTGTAAGTCCATGAATCTAGGTCAGCTAAAATATCATATGTACTCAAATATCAATCAAGATCAAGTAAATGCTCTTGCAATTTTTCTCAAAGCTTTCAAGGTTGTAACCTTATTTGGAGATGGAGGTGTTTGAGTGCTTAAGAAGAACATTGAATTCAATTCTTCAATAATTTTTCCCTAGAGTTTTGGGTGCAATGAGTCTTATATAAGAGCAACTTTTCCTGACTTTTGACAATTTTAACAACCACCCAAATGTGAGGGCATAGTCTAACTATTTTTGGAGTATTTTAGGTTTTTGTTATGTTCCTATTTTTGGCATATGCTTAACTTCTTTATAGTTGTGGTTATACACATGAGACAACTTCTTTAATGCTATGAAGATGAAATAGAAAATTTACAGTAAACTAGCTCTATTTTGTTTTAATTTCACAAGCTAAATTAGAGGAATTTCAATGTAATCAAGGGTCATGAAGATGTTTGAATTTATGATGTTAAATTATCATTTAAATTTTATATATATTTTCTCAAAATTTGAGGTTTGGTCTTTCTTGATGCTGACAACATGAATATAAAGATAATTGATAAATTCAGAATTATAGAACTTTATGATCAAATGATCTAAATTATAGTTTTTGAGAAAATCCTTAAAACTAGGGAGAATTAACCCAAAGGTAAAATGATAATTTTATATCATTTGACAAATGAAATATCAACTTGAATGTCCCCAAATATGTTTTAGGTGGTGTAATATGATTTTATGTTTTGAAGTAACCTTATTTACATGAGTTTGCCGTTTTTATACTGTAGTCACATGTCAATATAGAGGAGAGAGAAAGAGACCATTAAGTATGTGTAAAATGAAAAAATAGAACTTAATTATTAGAGTGTACATGAATCTACAACCTAAAACTAGAGACTATCAACTATGACTCGCCTATAGTCTAAAACTAGACAATAATAGTGAGGTGTTAATTTTTTTGGCCTCTTAGAGCCATGAATCTAAAAGAGAAGTTGATGATGTTGGGTTAAGGGATTTGATATTGATGATTAATCATATAAATATAATATAAAAATTAATTTGACATATATTTGAATAGACTAAGAAAAATCACTTAAATAATGAAGATCTAAATCATTAGATCTATGTTCTTTTGTCATGCAAAGATGATTTATGAGCATCATATGACAAAAGTAAAAGTTCATCATACATTATGCATCATCCTAAATCAAATTAAAACTAGATAAAAAGATTTAGAAGAAATATAAAATAAGAGGGAAAAGTGTGTGTTGGCCCACTTTAGGAAAGAAATTGTGTCAACCCACAAAAGAGTATGTCAACCCAATCTAGTATGAAGAAAAAATATATTAACCTAGGAAAGCCAAACCAAATCTTGTGAAAGAAGAAGTATCTTTTCTCTACAAAATTTACCAGTAGTTAACTCATTAGAGAGCTGACCCACATTTACATCAAAGTAACTTTTGATTGATCATATCTCAAATATGTGATTTCTTGCTCGTAAAAACTTTTTCTACTACTAAAATCACCCATAACAACAAAAAAGATATAGTTCAACATCAAAACAAAATCATTCTCTCTTTAAAATTGATTTTCATAGTGTAACAACTTTTGGAGAGCACTTGTAACAAGAATAAATTAAGCTAGTGCCTTGATGTTTGATGTGGGGTGATATATTTGTGAAATTTATCATGTAAAGGATTCTCTAATGCAATGATGTTCGACTATATTTATTTTAAGGGTCTTTAGTACATATACAATTTAAACCAAAAGGTAAAACTTAGTGTTTTGAAGGCTTCAATCCTCTGATATCTTGTTGATGAAATTTTGGCATGAAAGAGTATTGAAAAACTTAAGCACCAACTGATCTTCATTACCTCTAAATACTTAAGATTGTTGCAATCAGGCTTAGATTCTTTGGAGGAGGGTTGGTGAACTTCTTAGCTATTTTCTAGATTTTCTCTCTTCATACATTCTCTATTTTTCTTCCTCTCATGGTCAAAACCTTAATCTAGGTGCAACACTCTTGTTTTACTCACCTTAATGGGTTGTAATGGTTGTCATAACAACTAGTTTAGCAATCCATTTTGGGCTGCACTCATGCTTGAAATTTGAACATAAAACATGTTTATTAATCTTTCAAAGTTCACAACAATTCAAAATCTTCGAGTTTCAATTCACTATTTGTCAAATTGTGTTTTTCTTCAAACTAGTTTTCGAATGAGTAGTCACTTATTCATATTTTTGTCATCACCTTGTGGCAAAAAATCATTTTAATCATGTGCTATTCATATGAACCATTTTACCATTTAGTGGCTTTCATCTGATTCAATTACATGATTTAATCTATGATAATTCACAATATATATAATATGATAAATTATCATCTAGAAGTTACCAAATCATCCATTATCAACATCAAAATATTTGAGGATCTCAAAACAACCATCAACTCAATGTGTCAAAACACTACATTGACCAAGATCAGTTTATGTCAACCTGACATCTTTTATGTTGACCACTTATTGTGAGTTGGCAAAAGCTAATAGAAAAAAAATTGACTCCCCCTCTTAGTATATAATTCATCTAACAAGAGAAACAATATTGTGTCGATGCCTTTTTTTTTGACATTTCTGAGTGAAAACTCATTTATAAAATATTAATAGAATATTTTCTCAACAAAAAATTGATTTCAGACTTACATTACAAGCTTGGTATTTTTGAAAAATATTCTAAATATATATTGATGATACTTAAATAATCTTATGACTAACAACGAATCTAAGGAGTTATATCATTTAGATATTTTCTTGATGAATTAATATAGTTCATATAGGATGAAGGTTTTAGAAAATAAAAACATAAAGTCACATGCAGGATCCAAAAGACCAAAACGACATGATGTTAAAAGCATTAATGATAAAAACACCTAGAAAAATGGACAGTAATACATAGGCATAATACATGGAGATAACAACAAGCTTACGTGGAGAAGTGCCATGCATTTGAGTCTGACCTTGAAACCAAGATTGTCCATTGATAAACTATGAATCTCCAAAAAAACTTTTAAGGATAAAAAATGTGAAAATAAGAAAGTTCAAATGAAAGAACAAACAAATGTCACTGTTTTTTAGTGTATTGGTGGAGTAACGAGAAAAATTTTGAATTCATGTGACTATTTTTCAAGTAATGCAAAATATTGGAGAATAAAAGGGAGGAGCTTATGAAGAAGAAGATTTAACTTTAAGTGAATAAATCTATCTACCACATTCATTCATGCTCAAAGAACGAATTTACAGGATTCATTAAAGTCAAGCTGCTGCATGCTTCAAAAAAACAGTTGAAAACTACATACAACTCACACTACTCTGGTGATTCGACTCAACTCTTGCTTCAAAAGTTAACTCTTTCCCTCAGGTCCTAAGGTACCTAGGTGTTGAGTGGAAAGAGACTTGGACTAAGGCACAATGTGCTGAGAACTTACTAGCACTTGTGAAGGGTGTGGTCTCTGAGGAGGCTAGCATATTTGACTATGGCATGTGGTGTTGATAGTCAAACTATACCCATGAGGGGTGTGGTCTTTATAGAGATTCAGAAAAAAAGATCCTTCAAGACTAGACGTAGCTTAGTGAGGAGTGAACTAATATAAAAACTATCTATCTCCTTCATGGTGACAAGAGGGAGAGAGATTAGAGTAAACTCACGTATAAAGAGAGACTAACTTAAATAAACTTGTACCTAGAATAAAAAAGATATGTGAGAACCTTAGTTGATACATACACTCATAAACATAACATAAAAATAGAAAAAAAAAACATAAGAAATCAATTCACCATCCCTTGTGGTGCTCTACTTAGTCACATCAAACCCAAGAATTGAAATTAAAGCCCACCTTGATCAATCAATATTAAAACATATCAATATTTTTCTATGGCTAGCGAAATAATTGAATCCTCAAACCCTAAACCACTCATGTTTGATAGAAAAAATTATGTAGTTTGGAAAACTAGAGTTAAAATATATGCTATGGGTCATCGATCAAAAGTGTGGAAGATGATTAAGATTGGTCTACATAAAGCCTCAAATAAGTCTGTAGAGAAACAAACCTCAATGTTAAATGCTAGAGTTATGAATATTTTGCTTAGTCCTATTAATGTATCTGAATTTAATTGTGTTAAGTTTTGAGATAGTGAAAGAAATTTGGGACAAGTTTAAAGTAACTTACAAAGGTATATCTCATATGAAAGATACCAAGATTGACATCTTGGTTGTCAAATATGAAAAAAGGAGAATCTATTAGTGATCTCGTCAAGAGATTTTATGAAATAGTTAATGATATGAGAAACCTTAGTAAAACCTTCTCAAATAAAGATGTAAAATAAAAGTTACTCAAGAAATTGACTGATGACTAGATGATAAAGAAGATGGCAATCGTAGAATCTAAGAATCTAAATAATTTAACTCTAGATGAAATTTTTAGTACACTACTAAACAATGAAATTGAGGTAGTTAGAAGTAGAGCCCTCTCAGGAAAGAGAGCTACAAAGATCACCCTCACAACAATTAAGAGATCAAATGAAGATGAAGAAATCGCGTTGTTGTCTAAATAGTTGAACAAGTTGTGGAAGAGAAACAACAATCCCATTCAAATGAAAAGTAAGAGTTAATCTCTTGAAAATTCAAAAAATCTCTATTTTGAGTGTAAGAAACAAGGCCATTTCAAGGCCAACTACCCACTATTGAAGAGGAAGAATTCAAGCCAAAGACAGTAGGCAATGATGACTACATAGAGTGACAACAATTACAGCAGAGCCGAAGAGACTAAAGGGAGGAAAGATATCTGCCCAATAACTAGATCATCAGAGGTATACAATCTTGAGTACTCTCCCTCATACAGTTAGTCACAAGATGATCTTGATGAACTTATGAATGTATTTGAAACTATTAGACTTCAATTGAAGGCTTCACAAAAAGAAAATCATATAATCAAAAAGTCAAATAGTGATCTAGAAAATAAAATTAAGTATCACACCACCTAGCTGACAGTTTAGAGAAAGAGAATGAAAACCTTATAGAAACAGTTAGTAGATAAAAAAGAAAAAGGAGGATACATCCTCTCATACAATCACACCCCTTGTCACTGAAAAAAAATAGAATATAATTTTTGTCACACCAGAAAAATTAGAAAATGATGATGAACTTAGGAGCCAAAGATCCATGCAAGAATCATGTGATCCAGACATAAAGTGTCATGCACATGAAACACATAATCTCTAGGTTATGTTTTAGAAAACCAAGAACTGAGGAAAAAAATGATAGCTTGAGTATGGAAATTAGACAGTCGACATAAAAGGATCACTGATTATAAAAGAAAATTTCTAATTTGAGATTATACTATGACAAATTATGCAATAGTTAAAAGGCATTAGACATGTTATTAGAAAGTCAAAACTCGTCACTTAGTTTGTATAAACCCAAGGCAATTTGGGTGTCCCAATTGAAAACGTCATTATGCTTTTTAGGGGGGTTCCCAATTTGGGCTACTTCACAATTGTACTTACATAGTGGGTGTTTAATAAACATGATCAGATATCATAATTGACTATCCTCATTCAAACCTAAAGATGGAGAAGAAATGACATTTGGGGATGACAAAAAGGAAAACATTTATGTTATAGAGATATTTCTTGAAATGATAAATATGTTGTTAAAGATATCATATTTGTTGACATATTAAAGCATAATCTAAATAGTATTAGTAAACTTTGTCACAATGACATGGAAGTTTGGTTTAGAAAAAGACAAATTTCTAATTTTAAATGATAACAATGGTGAAGTTATGTTCATTGGTGATAAAATGAAAAATGTTTATGTCATCAATCTTAAGAAGTTAGCTAAATCAAATGTCTGTGTTGTGTTTAAAAATGATAAAGAAGAAATGGTTCTTTGACGTAGAAGGCTTGGATATGTGAACATTAAAATAATTGAAAAATTATCAAAATTAGATTTAATTAGAGGACTACTTAAACTCACAAACATGGAAAACAACATATGTGAGAGTTGCATCAAGGGAAAACAAACCAGAGCATAGTTCAAATAAAATAAATTTAACTCTTCAACACAAATTGTAGAATTGATTCATTTAAACTTGCTTAGACCAAGTAAAATTGCTAGGTTATGAGGAAAACTTTATTGCCTTGTTGTTGTCAATAACTATTCTAGATTTACTTGGGTGTTCTTTTTATTTCATAAAAATGAAAAAAATGATTTCTTTATAAAATTTGCAAAGAAGATACAAATTGAATTAGGCACACCAATTAGGAAAATTAGTAGTGATCACAGAGGAGATTTGAATATATTATGTTTTCAAAATTCTATGATGAATTAGGGATCATCAAGGTCTATTTAGTAATGCTTGAGTAACAACATCAAGGTCTGACCCAAATTGCGCAAAGGTCCATGAATTTTCAACACATAGGACTCCTCAACATAATACTTTTTGATCTATCTAAAACCATGATCTCTCTAAATATTTCTGGGTTGAGGCCATTAGCACGGTATGCTATGTTACAATAGAGTGTTTATTGAATAAAAATTGAAGAAAACTTCATTTGAACTTTTAAAGAATAGGAAACCAAACATAAATTATTTTAAACCATTCAGATGTCAATGTTTTATTGTTAACAATGAAAATAGGAACTAAGAAGATTCGATCAGTGAAGTGATGAAAGAATACTCTAAGGATACTCTGAAAAATCGTGGGCTTAGAACCATGGTTCTTGAGGAATCAATACATGTTACCTTATGAGAATGATCATGTCGACACAGGTTATGGAGACATGGAGATATGCCTAGGATAAAGACCTACACAAGTTATGGAGACATGGAGATATGCCTAGGAGAAGAAGAAGAGTTACCTTAAAATCAAGCATTGATCTTGAGGATTTACCTAGGACTTGGAGATATGCTAGAAGTCATCCTACTGAAAAAATTATTGGAGAGTTAAATGATAGAGCTATAACTATATCAAAATTAGAGCAAGTTCACATGGCATTCACTTCCCAAATTGAACTACAAAATATTGATAATGCTCTTATAGACTCTAATTAGATGATTGCTATGTAAGATGAATTTAAATAATTCAAAAGAAGTGATTTATTATCTAGTTTCAAGACTTGAAGAGCAAAGTGTAATTATAAAAAAATGAGCCTTTATGAATAAATTAAATGTGCATATTAGTGATATGAAATAAAGCAAGATTAGTTGATGAATTATGTTGAGGAAGAAAGGATAAATTATGAAGAAACCTATGACCCTATAGCAAGACTGATAAGTCTTCATTATCATGAGTTAATAATTAGTAAATAATATATTTTTAGCCTTAAATCATGATAAATAGACTTATATTTGTGTTAAAGTGTGAAAACTAGTTTTCAATTGATTATCATGAATTTTTGGCTAATTATGTGATTTTCTATAAATTTATATAATTTTTATAGTTTTATTTTTTAGATAAATAAAGATAAATAAATAGAAATAAAAATATAGCAAAATGGGGGGGACCCGCCGGCTAGTCGGGCCTGTAAGGGGGTTGGAAGCGCAGTCAGAGAGGAGCAGCGAGCAAGGGCTCGAGCGACTAGGACCAATGGGGGCACATGTGCGCCACTCCGCTTTCACGTCACCGGTGGCCAGCATGCTGTGAGGCAAGGAGTGGTCGTACACACGGGAAAAAGAGACTCATTGATTGCAAATGTAATATTACTATATATTCGTTCGAAACTTCGGCGCACAAGCGATGTGGGACTAAACCCACATCACACCTTTCCCCGAAAGGCTTCAAAGATTTTAATACCTAAACTACTCCTTATTTTTAAATAGAGATATACCATGATGACGTCACTTGATAAAGGCATTATAGTACTTATTTCAATCTCTCTTATGTAGGTAGGCAACTAGTGGGTTTGAATCCTCCCAAAGCCAAAACTGATATTTTTATCTGATTATTGTGACTTTCTTACAGATTGCCGGTGAAGGATTAAGCTACCAAAATTGCTAGATCATCAGCAAAAATCTCATCAACGCGATTCGCACAGCATTGTTACTAAAATTGTTGAACGATTCACGATAAAAAGATCATGAATCCACCTCTTGTTCTTCGATTGATTGACGAATAAGCTATCGTCGGGAAGAGGACGATCTGCCGAGAGGCGAGTCGCCACCTCTTGAGAGCGTACTAGATGCGATGAAGAGCCTCATCTTACTACGTGGACTTGAGGATGAAGCTCCCTAACACTCGCCCCACCTTCATTCAACTCCTCTCTATCGGGTGACAGTTGCTAGAGAGCCACAAAGTTGCCATTTTTTTCGCTCTGCCGGGTGACAGTCACTGGAGATGATTTGATGACCCATTTCATTGATCTCTAGACTTTGCAAGATGATCTAAAGATTGCTCATGTCATTCCTGTCCAAGGAGAGCCTTCGAGGCCATGGACACTACATGACGATCCTTCCAAAGACTCAAGATTCTAGTGCATCACCGACGTATCACCGCTGCGACGTCGGAACTCTATTTTCCTACTTTCAACTTAATTTTTGCGTCATTTAGAGATAATTTGTGTGACTTAAATTTACCAAGTTATATTTCATTCAATTACGATTCTTCTAGATTTTACAGATTTTAATTTGATCAATTAAATCGTTTGTAATCGCTTACGTAAGAATCGTCGAGTAGAACTCTGTTTCTGCCCGATTCACGTTCGTCGAGCGATGATGTCATCTTGACATCCGCACCCTTATTTCCCTTTTTTGTGAATTTTAAATATATTTTATTTTCATTTCCTAGTATAATATCATATTCTTTGAGACAAATTTTGAATAATTACCTGATATTATATTACATCCTTGTGATCGGCCAAGAAAATTACCATTATTTTTAAAAGTTTGATTGAATTATAATAAATATATTTGTTCAAAAATACTTTTAAATATCTGAAAATTAATATTTTCTAGTTTTATAAATTTTAAATTTACATGATTTACTATACAACAACTAAGTCACATCAAAAACTTAATGTAATTATAATTTTTTTATTATTTCCATGTGCCAATAATTTTAAATTATATCAAATAGATGTTAAGCACACTTTTCTGAATGAATTAATCAAAGAGAAGATATGTGTAGAATAGCCTCATTGTTTTTAGAATTTTGATTTTCAAATCATATTTTCAAAATTAAAAAAAGTATTATATGGACTAAAACAAGCCCCATGAACTTGGTATGAGAAACTTAATTCGATTTTATTATAAAATATTTTTTAGAGAGGAAGTGTAGATTCTACTTTGTTCATCGAAAGAAAGAAAAATTATAGTTTGATTTTTTAAATACAGGTCGATGATATTATATTTGGAGCAAGTAGTGAATCATTATGCAATGAATTCTCAACATTAATGAAAAATGAATTCGAGATGAGCATGATGGGAGAATTAAATTTCTTTTTTAGATTATAAATGAAAAAGCTAGAGAATTAAATTTTTATATCTCAAGAAAAGTATATAAGAGAATTACTTGAGAAATTCAGAATAAAAGATTTCAAGTCTAAAGAATCTCTAATAGGTATAAACACAATTCTTTCTTAGATTATAAATCAAAAAGGTAGAGAATTAAATTTTTATATCTCAAGAAAAGTATATTAGAGAATTACTTGAGAAATTCAGAATAAAAGATTTAAAGTCTAAAGGATCTCTAATAGGTATAAACACAAAATTGGACTCTGATGAACATGAAAAAGAAGTTAA